TAATAAGGATATTATATATAAAATAAGGAATAAAAGCCTAACTAAACTTATAATTATAAAGATTAAAGAAGAAGTTAATAAAATTATAAGCCTTAAGTAAAATAACTTTCTTCTTAAGCTTAATATAGTATTAAAAGCCTTTAGCTTAAAAGTAAATAATTATAATTAAATTAAGTATATAATTAATAAAGTATAAGATTAGTTAGTCTTATAATTAACTAATTAGTATAATTCTAAAGATTTAATTATACTTAATACTTTTCTCCTTTAAAAAGAAGTCTAACCTACTATTATAAGTAAAGATATATACTATCTACTAGATCCTATATCTAGCTATAAGAAGATAAATAGGGAAATAGTAGAACCTTTACTTAAAAGAGTAAAGAAAATACCTATAGGCTTACTAATACCTATAGGGTCCCTTAAGCTCTAAATAAGCTAAGAAGTATCTATATTAATAGACTAGGTAATATAATAACTATAAGTATAAAAGGAAATTATAGCTCTTTTTAAATAGGATTCTAAGCTTAGTTAAGTATAAAAATTAAGGATTTTATTATTAAACTCTTATATAAGTAGTAGAATTATTACTTAAAAAAATAAAAAAAGTAAAAAGTTTTAAAAACTCTTTAAATAAACCTAAAGTCTTTACTATAATATTAATAGCTAATAATAATAAAATATTTAATAAACTCCTAACTAATTACTTAAATAGTATAATTAAAGATTATTTAAGCTTTAAAATAGTATATATAGTATTTACTATAGTTATAGCTAAGTATATAAATATATATACCTATTTAAAGGTAAACCTTTAAGATCTTTTTTAAGCTAATTTACTACTTTCTTTATAAAATTAGCTTAAGATATTAAATTACTTATTATCTACTTAATTTAAAGTAGTTATATAGAAGGAAATAGATTTATATATTTAAATAAGTATATAAACTAAAGTTAATTAAAAGGAAGGTATTAAAATAATATCTTTAAAATAGGTATTTATATATAAACTTAATTTTAATAATATATTTATATAATATAAAGTTTAAATATATATATAAAAAGACTTTTAACTATTTAATTAAAATAAAGAAATATATATTACTATATTTATAGTAAAGTCCTTTTAAATTATAATAGCCTTAATAGCCTAATTTAAAATATATATTAAATAATTTAATATTAAAAATACCTTTAATAATATTATATATACTAATTAATACTTCTTAATAACCTATTAGCTACTATTAGGCTTTAAAATACCTAGAAAGGTTATTTACTTAAATAAGGTACTATATAGTTTTTAAGACTTACTATATCTCTAGTTCTAGGAATTCTTAGGCTCTTTATAGGCTTTTAAGTTAATATAATATATAAAAAAGCCTTACTTATTCTATTTACCTAATTAATAGGTTTATCTTATCTTCTTTATAAATAATATCCTTATTTTAATAAAATTAGAAAATAAAGGTATAATTAATATACTTACTACTAGGCTTTAAAAGAAGTATAAAATATATAAATAGGGATTAGTATACTAGTTTTTAGGTATTAAAATTATTAAAAACCTAATTAATAAGTATATCTTCTTATTATATTAAGCCTATATTAAGAAGATTATTTAAAAATTTAGCTATAATAATAAGCTATATAAACTAAATACTTCTTTTCTTATTATTAAGCTTTTACTTTTTAAAGGTATTACCTAACTATATAATATAAAGATATATTAAATACTTATTAGATTAATTCTATATATAGCTATTATAGTAAGCCTTAATATAGCCTTTATAGCCTTCTTTCTCTTAAGATTCTTAATAAATCCCTTTTTAGAGTATATTAAGGTAGTATAAAGAGTTATTAGCTATTTATATACTATAAAATACTTAGTATTATACTTTAAAATAAGTATAGAAGCTAAAATCCTATATATAGTAAGTAATATATTATATACTAATAACCTTATAATTAAGAGGTTTATATAAGGCTATATTATATTCCTTTATAAAGGCTTTATTATATAGAAGTTATTAAGGTAAATAACTATTATAATATTAATAATAAAAGTTAAGTTTTTAGCTTTATTAAATATAGTTAAAAAGGCTATAATATTATATAGGTTATTTACTTAAATATATATTTAATTACCTATTCTATATAAGATCTTTTATAATAATTAATAGACTATTTAATTAGTTATTATATTAAATATATATATAGAAATAAAGCTAAGGTATATTAATTTATATAATCTTTAGCTTAAATAGGAATATATATATAGGTAATTTATATTAACCTTTAAGCTAATAATAAAGATATTAGTAGATAGGTTAATAAAAAATCTATTTAAGTAGCTATTTAAGTAATTTAAAGTATAGCTATATATATAATATATTAATTATAATATAGTTTAAATAAATTATAAAAATATTAAAAAAAAGGAAAAAGATATAGTAAAAAAAACTTTAATTTATACCTAATAAGGCTAAGCTATTACTAGGCTAGCTAGTTCCTATACTATAATTAATATAATAAAAAATATACCTACTTTAATAGGATTTAATTTAATACCTTTATAAAAATAGATAGAGTATAGGTATATAAGGTTACTAGTATACTATAAATAGTATTAATACTCTTAAAATAAAGAGTACCTTTATAGTTATACTTAGTAACTAGGTAAAATATACTATATAGTACTTAATATATATAGTTTTAATACTTTAAATAATTAACTAAGCTTTAAATTAAGAAAAAGAAAAAAAAGACTTATACTTTAGCTAATACTAGCCTTTATTAAAGTAATAAGGGTATATATAGTAGGTACTAGCTAGGGGTTATTATTTTTTAAAGTTAACTAAGTATATAATTATAGGTTTTAAAGTATAAATAAGTATATAAAGGGTAATATATATACTTATTAAAGTAGTACTAATACTATATTAAATTACTATTAATAGTATTAAAATATATATTAAAAATTTTATTAGCTATAGTAATATAGGTATAAGCCTTATAAGGCTTAGCCTTCTAGGCCCTTTAGTAAGAAGTTATAGTAATAATAATAGTAATAATAATAGTAGTATTAATAGTAGTAATAGTAAGAGCCTAAAGAAGGGATTAGTTTATACTTTAATATATAAAGAAATAGTAAAAGATATATATAGTAAAGTTACTAAAGGTATCTAGTTATTATAAAGTAGCTTTAATAATAGTAGTAGTAGTAATAGTATAGTAATAAGACTTATAAGTATAAGCTATTTTAAATAGTATTTTTAATAAAAAAGGGAAGAAAAAGGTATTATAAAGTAAAAGTAATATACTTAAATAAGTATACCTTAGCTACTTTTTATAGTTAGTTTATATTACTTATTAAAAGTACTTTTTATTACCTATTAAATAAAGAGGCTAAAATATTAATTAATATTATTATAATATAAAAAGATATTAAAAATAGTATTTTAATATATAAAGGTAATAATTATATATATAATATTATAATTTTTATTTATTTAATAATTTTAATTATAAGAATAGCCTTAATTAAAGGGTATATTAAAAAGTAATAAAGTTAAATATATAATAAGTAAAGTAAATATAGTATTTAAAGTATTAAGAATATAAGCCCTAATAAGGTACCTAAATTCCTATATAAATTATACTATAAAAGAGGTACCCCTATAGGGTAGAATTTTCCTTTCTTTCTAGTTAGAATATATAGAATATTAAGTTGCCTTTTCTTTAACCTCTTCTAGCTATAATTAACTATGTATATGTGTAACGCCTCTATAAATCGTAAGCATAGACAACACTATAACGTGACAGTTTCAGAGGTCAGACGGTATAAGCACGAACTGCGGTTGCCGCCACGGGAGTTTTTGTTTAGCGCCAAGTCCAAGAGTATATTTGACAGGCAGCCGCCGCAACGGCTGATAGTTGCTGAGCTAATAAAAAAATTCAAGCTATAAGCAAAAGTACGTGAGAAACATGCCATGTAGCAAGACATTTAGATGGACTGTGCAAGGAATAGGCTACGCAGGGCTAGGCTGAAGATGAAGATGCCAGTGAGCCCCCCCCCCCAAGTCAGCCCTTTTCGAAAACTAACCTATATCTGTTCTTATAGGTGTAACTTGCTAGCAAAAACTATGTTGGCAAAGTGGTGAAATGCATCAATTCGTCGCATTCTCTATGTATGCGTCGTGGCCGTCGCAAGCAGCACAGCCACATGGCATCCCAGCCTCGAAGCGCCTCCAAATTCAAGTTATAGTTCCCTCGGACTTATTTCCCGGCCGAGTTCGACTTCTGCCACTAATAAAATGCGTTGCGGCGGGAAATACTACCCAAATGGGCCTTGGCGCGCCGGGACGGCATTCGGTTTTGGGCGTGGCTGGGGCAAGAAGGCTAGGCCTGTTCAGGTATGCTTTGGGGCTTGTTTTTTCCGGGTTTCTCAGATCTTGATATCGATTCATCGTGCTTCCACCACGGGAAGACTCCTTGAAGCAAAGAAGCTAGCATAAAGGACAGCCTTGCAGCTCACCTTGCTTAGCAGTCCGGTTAGCACGGCCCGTTCTGAGACGTGGACACTTACGTATGTCGGGCGCCATCTCGCTCTTTCACGCTCTCTCCCCTGCCTTCGGGTTTCGCGTGCGCAGGCATGACACAAGGCCACACTACCTACTGCCATGCTCTTTTGGCGTGTCATGCTGAATAGGGAAGCTGATGTCACCTATCCGGCTACTTCAAGCCGTAACAATCTTAACGATTCAGACAAGTTAAAAAGTCGCAGTCACCCCGTCATCCTAAAGCGCCAGCTAGGATCCCACCCTATCATCAACTCGCACCTTGAACACCACTGTCGTCTTCTCCTCCTATCCACGATTCGAAATCGTCTCAGTTTGCATTCAAGTCACTTGGAAATCTCTTCGAAAATCCCGGTCCCTGTTTATTGCAGCCAAAGGGTCTTGGCGACTCTCCACTTACACTGACGGAAATCAGCCAAAATGACCAACTTCACATACCGTGACGGCATTGCTGTCCTGCAGCTCGTCGCCTTCATCCCGTGTCTCCTCTTTGCCACGGTTCTCTGCTTCAAGCAAGGAATGAGAGCAGTCTCTGCCTGCTGGCGCTTTTTGCTCATCTTGGGTCTCCTGCGTGTCATTGCCGCCATCTGCCAGCTTCTTCTCATGACCCATGACGACCGCGCCATCGTCGTGACGAAGCTCACCTGCGATCTCCTCGGCATCGCGCCGCTGACCCTGGCCGCCGTCGGACTTCTTCGTCGCGTCAACGAGGCCGTCCTGACACTACCCAAGCATGTCTTCCTCTTGGCCGATGCTGTCAGTCTTGCCGGTCTCGGGGTCGGTATTGCCGGTGCCGTGCAGGCAGTCGACAACAACAACATCCCGTCTCTTCTCAAGATTGCTCTTGCCCTTTTCGTTGCCTGTTTGGGCATCATGTTCTGCATTCTCGGCTGGCTGACGGCATCGGTCCATCGCTTGCCACGCAACGAGAGAATCACCCTCTATTCCATCTACGTCTGCGCGCCTTTTCTCATTGTCCGTATGGTGTACGCCTGCATCGGCGACTTTGGCAATGACTCTCGCTTCAGCATCTTCAACGGCGATCCCACCATCTTTCTGTGCATGTCCGTCCTCGAGGAGATTATTCTCATGATCATCTGTCTTTACGTCGGCTACATGTACCCACCCACAGCTGTCAAACACGGCGCTCCCAAGCCTCGCTATGTGAGCAAAGCTTAGTTGAAGGTAGAAGCCATTTGCGAATTTAACTGGAGCGAACTATACCGACAAGCAGCTGTTGACACTGGCACGGGGGACCGAGCCAGCAGCCAACTTGGGCCAGATTTGTTATCTTTTTTGTATTCATTTTTTTAAACGCATTGCGTGGCGTCTGGGCTTTGGCAGTCTCGATTCACGGCAGCGACCGACTGGGGTGAAGTTGATGAACAACTCGAAACCTGACATTATTATTATTAGAGAATACTTTTAGACTGGTCAATCAAAATCTGAGACCAATCAATTTGGCAAATATAAACTCCACTGTCTCACGGACGCGTCATTATTGAGGCCTGATGCAGTAAGCTCTAGTTCCGGATAACTCCCAAGTCGTGCCCATAGAATGTGTAGTGCTGAACCAGATATGTTACAGGGCTGAATCCCGAACTCCGGTTTACACAAAGCGACACGTAGCCCTGTGGCTGTGTTGCAACAAAGTAGACTTGAAACAGCCAAAGATTGGTATTCGATAGACCTCATTTTAAAGAAAAAAATAAAAAATAAAAAAAGAAGAAAAAGGACGAAACGATCGACGTGCGTCTCTTATCCTCGAGGTTCGCTTTGGTACAGGGTACACAGTTGATATAATGAGACTGAGGCCTTAGTCTGGCGTCGGGATTCCATCAAGTTTCAAGTGACATTTCAAAGACAGGGAGCTACCATACTGGGGAAAATACTGTCAATTTCTCTTTTTTTTTTTTTTTTTCCGTGGTGGCGACGCGGAGTGTCTGGATTTGGAAAGTTAGCGGTGAAGTGGGCGGCGCCTCATCACTTTGCAGCCACGGCGTTTGCTTCGCACCCCCCAACATCCGCATCAAACTGCGCATCGGAGGAATAAAGACTTCACTGCTACAAATCTCAGATTCGGAAGCTTTCACGCCCAAGCATGGCCTCTACAGATCCACCACTGTCGGCGCGCGCTGAAGCCGCGGCCTATATCTCGCAGGCCAACTTCCACAAAACGTTCACTATACCAGCCACAACCAGCCATGGCGATTTGACATTTAGCTATAGCGATGTTGGCGTGTCTCCAGAAGAGCAGACGTCCACGGCCAAAGTTCCCGTCATCTTATTTCATCCAGGCTTGTTCGCCTCCCGATATGTGGGAGTATCCCTGCACGCTCTGGCAAAACATCTCGGAATCCGCGTTCTTACTGTCGACAGGTACATCAACATCTACATATCGGTAACAAAGTTTGAGCGGTAGCTAACTTCCTTAGGCCAGGATTTGGTAGCTCCACGGAAGTTCCTCTTGATACACGAGTTGACATTTGGGTGGAAGTCGTGCCGCTGCTGCTCGCCCACCTCAACATCCCCCACATAACCATTGTTTCACACTGCGCCGGAACGGTGTACGCACTCAACTTGCTTTCCAGATGCAGAGACCTTTTGGATCCAGGGCGACCGATGTCTGTATTGTTGGGTATGTGTGCTGGCGAGGCAAAGAAATGGGCTCCATTGCTAACGGAGTGAACAGCACCATGGGTCGACCCGCAGCACTCCAAAATGACAATGATGCAGGTCGCTCAGTATATACCTTCCCCTGCCTACTCGTTATTCAACGGACTCAGCCGCTTCGCTGCTCGTGGTATGTTGACGACAGTATCAAGTAGCGAGGCCGTTTTTAATGCTTTTGGGATGGGGCAACGGTCGGAAGCAGAGGAGCAAACCGTGCAGAGTTGGCAACAGGACAATTCTTTAAAGCTTGAACGCGAGTGTGGTCTGTCAACCAAAATACAAGGTGCCCTTCAACTCCAGACTGTCGAGCACATCTTTTCAGAAAACACCTCTGGTTCGAGCGACGAAGCGCGCCACTGCGCACGCAAAGCGACACGAGGCAGCTGGGGCAAAGCGGACAACTATCAAGTTTTTGTGCAAGAGCTTGCTCAGCAAGAGAGAGTCAGAAACGAGAGTCATGCGGAGCGCGCCTCTACTGCAAAACTGAGGGTGATGGCGTTCTTTGCCGCGACGGACCACATTATCGGCGAGGGAGGACGACAGTACGTTGAAAAGTGCTGGAAGGGCTCGCCGGGTGAGTTTGACGACGCTTTTGAATTCAGTCACAAAACTGTTGTTGGGTCTGGCCATGACGAGCTCGTCGTTGGCTTTGATGTCTGGAAGGAAATTGTGGCCAACATCCGTGGCGCCGAGGCTCGGTAACGGAAGCAGCTGCTTGTATGAGAACTTTTAATGCACCACTATTTTTGCGCAGCTTTCTTTCGCTTCACGACCATTGTCGGCGTTAAAAGACAATTTCCGTGAGGCCATCTACGAATTGGCCGAGCACTACTCCCAGAAGTGTTGCGCAATGACATAGCGGTGAAGCACGGGGGCACAGCCGGAAAGAAAAGCACGTACAGTCCACCGCTCGGTTCTCCAATCACAGGCATCTCCTACTTTCGTGACTCAGTTAATATACCAGTGACACGCAGCAAACGCGTCCTTCACTAACAAGGCTGGGAACTCGGCTGAGCTACGGCGAAGAGGGGTCAACGACGTCAGCGCTTGCATGATCTCGCCTAAGAACCAATTATCAACATTTTTCTGCCACAACACGTTGAGAACAGAATATCTACGAGCCTCGGAAAATACGTCTGCCTTTGTGTAGAAAACATGGAGAATTACAATAGCCACACAGCCGGCTCCTCGACCGACAGCGAGGCCGCCCGGCAGTATTTTAAGCATTCCAGCGCCAAGCGCACCAACACCAACGCCGTGCTCGCGATGGCGCTCAAGAGGCAGTATCCTGCGCTGCATCTCAGCCTCGTGCCCGCGCGGACAGCCGACATCTTGGCGTTCGCCTCGAGCGGACGGGCCTTGTTTACCGAGGTTGAAGACGACACGGGCGAGAGCGGCATCCCGGCCTCGCTCAGGCTAAAGATGTTTGTGCCCCCGACGAAGCGTGGCAGCGGCGACGGCGTCGTCGCCCGCGTCCCCATGTTTGCCAAGTTTCTCTACAAGTACAATGATCACGACTTCATCGCCTACCGGGCCAGGGCGCAGGATGGCGCGTTCGATAGCGAGGACATGTACTACATTCTCTCCACGGACGAGACCAAGACGGATGCACTCATCCAGGCGGCTGGTACCTGGGGCAGTGTGCTGCACGACGAGATTTGGGTCTTTGACGGCGGCTTTTGGCGGAAAGACGCCGGGCTCTATGCGAGCGTCATCAAGTCTTCGTGGGATTCCGTCATTCTCGACCAGGACATGAAAAAGGCACTCATGGACGATCACTTGTCGTTTTTCCGATCGCGCAGCACATACCAGAACCTCAAAGTTCCTTGGAAGCGAGGCATCATTTACTACGGACCACCGGGCAACGGAAAGACGATTTCCATCAAGGCCATGATGCATACGCTCTACAACCTTACGCCCGAGGTCCCTACACTCTACGTGCGGAGTCTCACCTCAGTAAGCCCTTGGTCCTACCTTTTGCCTCCTCCCCAATACTGACCTTTGTTGTAGTATTTCGGCCCCGAGGATTCCATCCAGAAAATCTTCTCTCTTGCCCGGCAATTTTCTCCCTGCTACCTCGTCTTTGAAGACCTAGACTCGCTCGTCTCCGATGACGTGCGGAGCTATTTTCTCAATGAAGTGGATGGCCTGCAGTCCAACGACGGCATCTTCATGATTGGAAGCACGAACCACCTTGAGCGCCTGGATCCTGGCATCGCCGTGAGTACCAACCAGCGCTCGACCTATCCAGTATTACTGACTTGGGTTTTAGAAACGCCCCTCGCGCTTCGATCGCAAGTACTTGTTCCCCAACCCAAATCTCAAAGAGCGCGTGGCCTATTGCCATTTTTGGCAATCCAAACTGGCGGGTAACAAGGCCATTGAGTTTCCCGACAAGCTGTGCGAGGCGATTGCAGATATTACCAACGAGTTTAGCTTTGCTTATATGCAAGAGGCGTTTGTCGCCGCTCTGCTTGCCATTGCACGCAATGAAGGCGAGCACGGCGACGACGACGATGGCTTCAGTGACGATGAGTACGGCGTCGCCACGGTTGATCTGGCTGATGAGTGGATTGGCGTGGTCGACCCGGCCGGCCGTGACCATGTTGATTTGGAGCACCTCAAGCTTTGGGTGGAAATTAAGAAGCAAATCAAGATTCTTCGCGAGGGCATCAAGGAAGAGCCCGAGGAATAATTCACGACTTCACCATGCCCCCTCACTCAACATCAACAACTCTTGCTACCATGCGTTATTCAATAAGTAGTTTGTATTCATCGCTTCTCAAGTTCTTTGAGCCTGTATAAATATAGTCACTGGCTCTTCATCCTCATCACTCATCAGATCTTCTATGCGCTGACCACAATGCTGCCAGTGAGGCGAATATCCCTGCTACTGGCACCAACATAAATCTTGTACTCGCCAGGATGCAGAACCCATTTCTGCAGCACAACATCCCACTGACTCAGGTCCCGCTTGGTGAGCTCGAAACTGGCCCTGCCGGTTTCTCCAGGCTGCAGGCCCAGCTTCTCAAAGCCGCGGAGCTGCTTTGGCGGCGCTCCGGGGATGCCCAGGTACAGCTGGGCAACCTCGGCACCGGCCACGGCGCCCGAGTTGGAGACGCTGACCTGCACGTTGGCGACTTCTTCAAAGAGCTGGTCTAGACTGGCGCTGACGCATCTGCGCACACCGTGCGCCGAGATGGACAGCGACGAGTATTTGAAACTAGTGTAGCTCAGTCCGTAGCCAAACTCGAAGCGCGGGGTAATGTTCTTGGCATCGAACGCGCGGTAGTCGAGATACTGGCCCTCGGTGTAGTCGCACTGGGGGTCGGTGTCGCCCTTGTGGGCCAGGCCGCAGGGCTCGTAGACGGCATAGTCGGACTCGTTCTTGGCCATGGTGTAGGGCAGCTTGCCCGAGAAGCCCGCGTCGCCGTAGAGCAGCTTCACAATGGCACGGCCGCTGTCCTGGCCGGGAAGGTGGGCGACGACGGCGGCGGTGACGTTTGGGTGCTCGATCCACTGGTCCACGAGGCGGATGCCGGACGCGTGCACCACGACAATGGTGTTGGCGCACTTGGACGCGACGTTGCGCACGAGGCCGTCGCTAAAGTCATCGTGCAGGCCGTCGCGGTCCCAGCCCTCGGTGGAGATGGCGTTGATGAAGACGAGGCAGGCGCTGGACGCCAGGTTGACGGGAGGATCAAAGGACGTCGTGTCCCAGTTGATCCAGGTGTCGTCCTCGACTGCGCGCTGCTGAATAGCGTTTAGGGGGTCGATGATGTAGGAGGGGGCGTTGGCGGCCGCGCGGCCGCCGCTGATAATGGTGCCGCCTCGAGCAGCTTGGTCGAAATGTGCCTCCGTGCCCAGGACGCCCTTGGCCATCTCCTGCGAAGAGTAGTAGCCAAGCTCAAAGAGCACATCCGTGTTCTTCGTCTGCGGCAGCGCAGCATCATACCCAAAGACGGACAGCATCTTTTGCTTGCCCTTGAAGGGCAATGCGTTGTTGGTGTTTTTGAGCAGGACATGGCCGGTGATGGCGCCTTCCAGGAGAACCGGCTTGGAATCGGGACTGCGGGCATCCACCAGATCATGAGGCTCAGTGAGGTTCTTCATCCCGATACCAGGCACGGGAAAACTGTCCTGGCCGACAAGGTACCACGCCGCAACGATTCTGGTAGCCATGTCCGTCACGCGTTCTTCGGGTACCGTGCCATTACGGACAGCCTCGGTCAGGTTTTGACCCCAGCTCCCACCCAAAGGCATGAGCACATCGAGACCCGCGTTGGCGCTGTTGAGATTGTGCTGGGCGTTCCAGTCCAGCACGACGAAGCCATCAAAGGCGAGCTCGCCCTTGAGTAGGCCATTCATGAGCTTGCTGTTCTCGCAGCCGTACGTGTTGTTGATACGGTTGTACGAGCACATGACGGATGCGACGCCAGCACGGACACCATCCATAAAGGGCCACAGATAGTATTCGTGCAATGTCTTGTCGTCGACGTTGGAGGAGGCCGCTTCTACGCCAAAGTATGGGCGGCGATGTGTTTCTTGTTCATTTGCGATGAAGTGCTTCTCGTTGTCAGCGAAGCTTCATTTCATCACGGGAGCAACACACCTTGAGGTTGGCAACGACACCGGCTTTTTGAATGCCAGTAATGGTTTCGGCGTTGAGTTGGCCGGACAGATACGGGTCAACGGAGAAGCCCTCCCAGTTCCTGCCACCAAGGGGTGTACGTCCCAAGGGGCCGGCATTGGGTCCAAGGGCAACGTTGATGCCTTTGCCTTTAAATTCCCCTCCCATGTGAAAGCCACGCTGGTGTGTGAGATTCCTGTCCCAGCTTGCGCCCGAGTGCAGCGCCGAAGGGTACGCGTTGACAAGCTCTGCAGCCCTGACACCGTTTCCAGCATCATGCAGACACATGCCAGGCCAGCCGAGTCGCGAGACAGAGCCAGTGGTGCCGGCGCAGGTGTTGTCCGCCTTGAAGCCGCGGGTGATGTTGACCTTTTCATCCAGTGTCATCTGGCCGACCAACGCGTGGGCGGTTTTGTAGGCGGCAGCCCACTGTCCCTCGCCTTTGCCCTGGGCTTTTCGGAGAGGAACATGTCAGAATAGATGTACATGGGGTATTCCGCTTCATATAGAATGAATCAACTCACGAGTTGGATACACGTCTGGCGATGTAGCCCGGCCAGCGACAGCGGCCGGTAGCAAAAGGCCTGCTAGGCCGAGGCTGCTAAGAGGGGATCTCATGATGTGCAACGATTGCCTTGGGTATGTACGACACTCTCTCCAGCCAGCGTTAGTGGAAAGGTAGAGCCTCGTTAAATAGGCAAGATATTGCCGGCGCGGCTTGGACTTTGCTGGCTAGTGATGCTCCAAAAGGCCCTCATTAGCGGTTGGGTCCGGGGACCAATGCCGCAAATCCGGACCGAAGAACCGTCTATGACGTTGGTAGGCACGTCCAGAACCAGGGGGTTATGTATGCGGTGTAGGATGCAGGAAATAATTACCGGGAAATGCAGCTTTTGCTTTTGTTGCCGGGAGGCCAAGGCGCACAGCCTCATGGGTAAGGACTGGTAGTTAATAAGGAAACTGCTAATCGGATCGCGTCCCGCCGGTCCCCGGAGAGGAGCAATTTGACCCCCACCAAACTAACAGTTTCCACACTCAGTCGATCAAAAGCCTTCGGGGGCCGAGAATAGCTGTCCGGTTCGACGGTGATACAAGTCGGGCTTTCTCTAGGCTAAATTACCTTGATACTGTGAAACTGCGGTCAGGATGAGCCCTGGCACATTGCATGGTGGGATGAGCGAGGACTGGACATGATGATGTTCCATTCAATATAGAGAGACTCGGCATTGCGTCTTGTTGGACTGCTGTGGATGGTGTGATATAACTAGTTCGAATAGTACAGACTATAGCCATTCAAGTCTGTCCCCATGACGTATAAACCTTGCAATCTCGTCTAGTTAGTTCGTCCGTGTCGAACCCTAGTTCGCAACTTGAGCGATAAAAAATTATGAATAATGACAGTGATGCCCAAGAATACGGTAGCCACACGTCTTGCATGTCTCGAGCACTAGCCCAATCCCCGTGGAAGAAAATGTGATGCCACTCAAGCTAACGCAGGTAGTCGTTCGCAAGATTGCCACTTGCTCGGGTTTTGCATTCTCGCTCCCTGTAGAGAATATCTGCTGCCAAATTGGCCATGGCATAAGTGGCAACCTGCAGATGGGCTGTGATGGCAACAGGAAAAACAGAAGCGTCAACAACGGAAAGTCCGGCCACTCCCTTGACGCGCAGCTTGTTATCGACGACTTTGCCCATTGCAGCCGTGCCCATGGGGTGATGGGTTGATCTGGCGTATTTAATTTGATGTTAGCGTTGTCTTTATGAATGTCCATGCCTGTTCAGCTTACCCCAAAGCAGCGGCGAATCGCTTGTCAATATAGTCATCTGTCGAATCAAGTCCGAAAGGCGCATCAAAGCCCAGCGCGCCAGCATCGCCGTCAACAACATAGCGGCCGAGGGGGGTCTGTCCCAGAGCAAATGCAAGCAAGCGTCGCATTCCATCTCGAGCAACAAATCTGTCTACCGCCGTCGCATAATAATTGGGGTCTACCAAGGGGGCATCTTTTATATCAGAGGAGGCGAGCGTGACGCTTCCGCGCGATGTGGGCAGAAGATGAACCATGAGGGAGGAAATGGTAGATCCATCTGGCAAACCAGCGTACACAACGATGTACTCGTTGAACGTACGCTCTTGATTGAGCAACGGGTGTGTTTTGAGGTCAGGTTTGCTACCCTCGTCCTCTTCAATTGCCTTTGCGAGGCCTTCTTTATCACCGACACCGGCTGATACGAGAAAGTCAGCGGGGATGCCCCAGCCATACTGGGCCTTTTTGAAGAGAAGGTTGCCCGACCCGATAGCGTAACCAGCAGAAGGATCCTTTAGTTTCCACTGGACGGGAAAGAGACCATGGTCAACCAAATGCTGTCCAACATCTGGGGAGATGACTTTGGGGGTGATATTGTGCTTGGCCAGCTCCATAGGAGGCCCAATACCAGACAGCATGAGAACCTGGGGTGTGCGTATGGCCCCTGCAGATAGAATGACGTCCTTGCCCTTGATCTCAGTGCCATTGGCAAGCTGCACACCGACGGCTCGATGGGGTCTGCGACTATTGGCATTGGGCTCCAAAAGAACCTTGGCCACCAGCGTCTCGGTCAAGACCGAAATGCCGTCCAGGGGATACACAACGGATGCGATCTGGCGACGACCCTCGCGTCTGTTCTCGAACAAGTCGCCGACGCCATTTGGTTCCCCGGCATTTCCATCCAAAAAGGGCAGACTATTCACTCCAACGTCCTTCCAAGAGTCGAGAACCTTTTCGCGCAAGGGAAATTGGCGCTCGGTGGAGATGATACCCTGGATATAAACAGGACCATCTCCACCGTGCTGTTGGGGGTTGATTGAGGCATTGGCTACCCTCTCGGTCTCGCGGAAGTAAGGAAGCAAGCCGTCGTAGCTCCAGCGATCATCGCCAACCGTTTCTGCCCAGAGATCATAGTCCCGCTTAGCACCTCGGCTCCATCCTCCTGTGCCAATCGGTTAGTAAATGAGGTTTCGCGTCATTGTTTTTTGCAGCTAGTCCTTTTCACGGCCATGCGCGCCAGGAACTAGCATGGCAGAGAGCACATCTTACCGACATTGATCACGGTACCACCACCAAGCGCTTTCCCACAGGGTAGGTCAATTTGTCGATTGTTTAGATGCACTTGCGGGACATTTTGTACTTCCAGTCGTATTGGCCTCCCCTGAGATTTGTCGAGTTATAGTAGACTACGCTCGGGTCATTGTTGGCGTTTGCGCCAGCCTCGATGACGAGGATCTTCAGCGCCGGGTGGTGATGAAGCAGGCGATTGGAGGTGACGGCGGCCGAAAGGCCTCCTCCGACAAAGATGTAGTCCCAAAGCATATTCGACGAAATGATGGCGGCCTGTTCTCAGGACATGTCAAGCTTCCGAGGCAACGGAGGGGCAGCGCGGGGAAGTGTTGGGAATAGGCCGCCTCATATAGCGAAGCGGCTACACTTTGTGTCACTGTCCGGCTCGGCGCGCAGCATGGTGCAGCTGCAGGCAGGCAACTGTGGCGCTGGATACGAGGCATCTTTGGGAGGGCGGAGGCAAGTTGGCAAGTTTGCACCTCATTGTAATCATGATCTGGGCGAAATCCAGCAGGTGATTCAACTGGTAATACTCACGGTGGTCAGTGCGTAGGAACCCAGTGGTGAAGTATTTGTAGGCCAGATTGGATTGATCTGGAAGGAAGCAAAAATGACTGGCAGGCCTGATACATGTTGTGCAGGTGGTTTGGGTGGTAAATTAATGTCAACAATATTATAATATAAATTGACAGGATTGTTGAGCATTGTCTTTGGCATACACCAATCTCGGACGCTAGACGTGACAAGAGGCATCTATCTAGTTACGAATACGGAGTAACTTGTAGTTGACTTTTCCCGAGTAGCGGGCCGGCCACGCCTCCTTGTTTCCCCAAGTTCGGAGGAATCCGTAGTTCCAGAGTATTGTTCTAGAATAAAAAGGTCCGGCGCGTCTTTCCATTTGTGAGCCCGAGCGCTCTTCCGGCCTCGGGAATTTTTTCTTGGCGCAGGGGCTGCCCCTATCTTCCTGTCTCAGAGCTGCGGGACTCTTGCCAACGAGACTGGCGTGATGGCATAGTTGCAAAAGACCCTGGTACCGAGCCGGGGCGGGATGGGATGTCGAAGGCTGATATTTTGACAACAAGAATTGGTCAAATGACAACAAGCTAAACCGAATTAGTATAGACCTTACCTACGTCAATTCTCAACGAGTATTGATTGCATCTATCAAGGAGGCTGCCACGATGGCTGGAATTGATAAATTCACTATGATAAAGCCGGCGGCATTAATTATTAACTTGTTTAGGCGTCGTTCTAGCCCCTAAATCTACGATAATAACACCTTGTATCGCCTATATCGCCTGTATCGCCCGTATCGCCTGTATCGCCTGTATCGCCCGTATCGCCTGTATCGTCTGCATCGCTAATAACTCGGGCGCCCGGTGCACGTCCTCGTCGAGCGTGAAGCTGATCTCGCCGTCCTCGGGTCTATACCAATTCGGTTAGCTTGTTGTTATTTGACCAATTCTTGTTGTCAAAATATCAGCCTTCTGGGATGTCGGCCGGTGTATGATTATCCTAAAAATCACGACCTATGTGGCTTAGATCGCGATCTTTTCCCTTTCCCTTTTCCTGATGTCTGTCTAGGTATTTCTTCCAGGCCCTTTCATCATCCGGTCTTCTTTCAAGAATAGCAAGCTCCATATTCTCGTCGTTGAAAATCCAATCGTCGGGAATGTAATCGTCATCAGCATCAGGATCCGGAGTTCCAGCTGCGCCTGCTAAGAACAAGATCATCCACATTGCCCAGCTGAGAGTATATTTAAATATACTTTAATTCTAATATTAATAATAAAGGAAGTAACGCTCTTAATAGTTATACTACTTTTACTATGATATTTTTGATCTATCTAACTATAATCTGCTTAAATAAATTTATACTAATTTTTCTACTATACCCCTTTTAGCTATGCGGTTGGTAGGGGGTTGCGTGCGGCCCCCCGTGTCCGACGTTACCAGTAGTATAAAGTACGTGAGCTGTAATTCTTTCTGACAAGTATTATTCGCCACTGTCTAAATTACTATCCGAATAAGACAGGCCAAGTACCAGTACGCCAATGTAGCTGCAACCCCCTCGAGCGTGCGCCAGTACGACATCACTTTGGGAATGGTGCCTCCAAGGATACGACTAGCGACTAGCTGCCGTCCACGTTGCACCTGTCCTGCTACCTACATAGGTAGTTGAACGAGACTAGAGAGAGGGCGCAGGGCCGCAGGGCAGACTGACAACATAGCGAGCTGAAAGTGTTCCACGCATAAGTGACCACGAAGGATAAGTAAAGCATAAAAAGTCGGACAATATAAAACTCAAATTGCTACTATACACAACAGAACACCTCGGCGCCCGTTGACCCCAGCCACAGGACTGCGGTGGGCTACATTTCACAGGAAATTGAAACTTGGCTGTGCTCCGTCTATTTGCCTTTTGTTAAGCGTCGCTAGTGTCCGTTCTACCAGCTCCAAAGCTGCCATCTGTACAGGTGTGACAGTGACAGGTCAATGAACTCTGACTTATCGTTTGTGACTGGCTTTATGCTCCTTTGCAAGATTTGTTGGGGAGAGAAGGAATGGAACTCCATGCGGAGATATCCAGTGACGGCTTTGTTCCAGAGGAGCAAATAAAGTAACCAGCCCTGACTCAGTGCTCGCAGGGGAACGGGCTGTTCTACAAATATCATTGGGTCGTTTACCGGCAGATGGCTCGAGAAACAGCCAAGGGTATGACTTGTTCCAAACTGGTGTGTGTGCACATGCTGATCACAATGCTCCATCGCGAACTAATTCATGTTAAACGGTGTTGCTTCCCGCCCCCATCCCTGACTAAATCCGGCGTGCGTGCTCAAAAACACCCCCCGACTCCGTAGTTCGAGGACTGTACATTGGTAGCTGAACGAGCCCGGGCTCTAGCCTCTGACAAGGCTCAGTAACTAACTGCTAACTAGATCAGATTGCCCACTATTACTTACAAAGGAACCAGGCGCAATTATTAACCCCCATTCCATTGCACTAGCCGAAGCAGCTTGTGGCGTCGTGAGACATGGACTCAGACGTCCACCGTTAAGGTGCCCATGCGCATCTTGACTAGTTAGTTCCCTTGGCTTCATCTTTCCAACTATTTCGATACATATACTCTTCCGCCTCCCACCAGCCCTCCCGCGCTCTTGACCCCAGCCCAGATCTGCATCTTCAACTTGACGACTCCCCTTCAGTTGTGATGGCTCAACGGCGCAGAGCCAGCGCCTGCCCGACCACCGAGACAGCCATCACAGACTGCCGGGCGGACAACAAATAAAGTCGGACCCTTGATTGACTGTCCGTGGTGCCGACGTCGAACTGCTCCCACCATGGCGACCGCGACCCCTTACGACCTTGTGGTAGCACAGCGCCGCCCGCCCATCACACCCGCCGGCGCCGGCCTCATTGCCACGGCCATTATCATGCCAGTCATTGCGACCCTGTGGACAATGGTCCGAGTTTGGACTCGGAAATTACGACGAGTTTCGGCGTGGTTTACTGAAGACATCTTGTGCTATCTTGCGGTCGTATGTCAACCCGGAATTGACCTGCAACGTGCTCGCCTTGTACTGACATGAGCTTGGCTAGGTTTTCTTCTGGGGTCTCGGGGTAAATTACATGTGCAGTACGTTGACCTACAGCACAGCAAGACATCTAGAGACTGGTCCGATGCTAACTTGTTGGCAGTGGTGATACTCGGTGGCGCTGGCAACCATCTCCCACGACTTACGGGAGGCGACTACCTCATGCGATTCTCTCAAACCACGTTCGCCGCTCAAGTGTTGTACGCCTTGGCTCTTGGATGTACGAAAATGAGCATCACATGGATGATCAAGCGCATCTTCTTCGATGGTTCTCACGCTTGGATACCATACTGCCTTATGGCTCTCAACTTTTGCTGGATGATGCAAACCATTTTGACCGGCGCCCTGTTTTGTCGACCCATTGCATTGAACTGGGATCAAGATACCCGAGGCTCGTGTGGCAACCGAAAGGCCGTGTTCTCTGCCGTCAGCATTGTCGATATTATCACCGATATCTTGATCATTGCACTCCCTGCCAAGATGCTTTGGGGGATCCAAATGCGGAGAACGTACAAGGTCGCTATTGCCTGCATGTTTGGTGCTGGTCTAGTGTAAGTTGTTGCCCCCAAACGGTATCAGTACCCGTCGTAGCTTACATGTTATAGCACCATTGCATGCACGGCTGTCCGACTGTACAGTGTCTTCACCCTTGATTTCTCCGAATTGACTTACAACCCTGTGTCAATCTCCATCACCTGTATGGTCCAATCCGGTGTGGCCATTATCGTTGCAAGTGCGCCTCTTCTCCGTCCCGCATTTGATCGAACCGTTGATTCGCTGTCCTACTCGTTTGGCCGTGGCTCACGAAAATCAAGAGCGTCCAATGAGAGATTGTCGCGCCGCAAGGGCTCGACTCATGCAAAAAACTCCACGTGCGCCTCGTCACTCAGCAAGAATGCGAAAGGCCCCTCCGGTTTCAAGCAATTAACAGAAAGCGAAGAGAATCTGCGATGGGAGCTGGATGTCATACATGCTGACAAGGGGAAGACGCTGACTGAAGTATCGAATGCGCCCTATGGTGACGGCATAGATGACGAGGAGCTACCATCCGGCCAAATAAAGGTCACGCAGTCTACACATGTTTCCCACGTATAGCAACACCACATATACCGATGCGGAGTTTGGGAATGATCTATTGGCGTTTTGTCATGTTTCAGTGGATTGACATGCCCAGGCAGCTTCACCAGGTCAGGAGTCTCGATAGTATAGAAGAGACGTATATAATTGCATCCAAGTTGGAAATGAGAGCAGTTAAGAAAAAGATAGCGAGAAAACTCGTCTCATTAACTCGCATACTTGTATCGAAGCCTGACTTTACTTTCCTTTTCAACACATGGCAGTCTCGCACTTTCCAAGTCACAACAAGCCAACGAACCATAAGCACAGTGCATCCAGATACATGAGATACAAACCAAATCATCAAATACTGATGGCGGCGTTACTTTTTATCCAACTATTAAAAAAAATAAAAACATCTTCAGCTTCTAGAATAAGTGCAAAGTGAAATCAGTCACGTGATCGAACTACTTCGTGGCAAGAACGGGAGCGCAGGCCGATCGAAAGGATGTAGAAATCTACAATTGCTTCGTCAGAAATATTTGGATCCAATATATACCGTGAATACGCTGATTCGTTTAATATAGTTTATATATTCTGTACCGCTGCAGCAACACAGAAACCACTAAGCTACTGGTACGCTCCTCTCGCGGATGTGCCCCGCCAAAGTTTTCGGCACCAAGCTTCAGCCTGGCGATTTTCCAGCAAAGTCTTGGGCCACGACGCGCGCACCGCAACAGCGCTTCCACCTACGGTAGCGACTTGACCCAGACAATACGAATCGATTCTCGGAAGCTCTTTACAGCATAATAGACGGTAACAAATAGCCACGATGAGGCTTACGGCAGACCTCATTCGGGATTCCCTTTCCTATCTCAACCCTCTCAAGGAACGAGAGCTTGATCTTCGAGGTGCGTTTGAAAAGAGCAGATACTACATGACTTGATGGCCTGGGGACAGGATATATTCATTCGTTATTTTTTGGCATTCGCAGGACACCGCATTCCCGCTATTGAGAACCTCGGCGCCGCAGGGGTGAGTCCTGACAGTCCATTATTCGCCGTGGGAGGGCCGCCGGACTGACCGTCTTCATTTCGCATAGCCACACGACTCAATCGACTTTACCGATAATGACATTCAAGTCCTCGCCAACTTTCCCCTCTCGCCACGCATAACAACCCTACTGCTAGCGCGCAACCGGGTCGCCAGCATCCACCCGACGATTGCAAAGTCTATCCCCAACCTGAAGAACCTGGTTCTCGCGTCAAACAATGTCGCAGAGCTGGCAGACTTGGACATCTTGGGAAAGATGTCCCGTCTGACACATCTGGTGCTGGTTGACAACCCTGTGACCAAGAGAGAAGTAAGGATGCCCCCTTCGCGTGACAATGTGGTTGGGGCGGATCTAACACCGTACAGAACTACCGGTACTGGATTGTTTGGAAATGCCCATCCGTACGCTTCCTCGACTACCAGAAAGTGAAGGAGGCAGAGCGGGAAAGAGGTCGCGAGCTATTCGGCACCGAGGAGGAGCCGACTGCGCTCGCTGCCAAGGTGAGTTCCTCGACCTTTCAACCCAGCTCAACGTGCAGTCATTAACCTCTACATGTTTAGATTATGGGCAAGAAGACGACGACTTTTGATGCGCCGGCAAACGGCGACGCAGAACCGCGCTCGAAGCTCTCGAGAATAAAGTTGACGGACGAAGAGAAGAGGAGACTACAGGAACGGATCAAGAAGGCGACGAGCTTGCAGGAAATTATCGCGCTGGAGAAGGAGCTGAATGAAGGACGCATACCGGCTGGCGTTCTCGGGGATCCTATGGAGGAGTAACTCGGCATAACTTGGGTTGCTTACTGGATGGTTTTATTTGCTTGAGGGGCTCTACATGCATTTGGTTCGGTCAGGCAAAAGCAACAGCCGGTGGTGTTATCGGATTTCTGCAGGTTCCTTGTTTTAAAAGGAAAAAAAATCTCATCCTTTTACCCCTATCACTTCCACGATAAGAGTACATACACTGCCCGAGCTGACGCGACTTACTACTGGCCACCCATGCTGACATCGTGGTTCCTGGGCTCTGCAGCCTGTCTCATTTCCAGCTCCAGTTGGTCATTTGGGTCATATCTATCATCCGACCGTAAAGCAAGGGTAAAGCTGGCCCTATCACCATTCACCCGAACGCTGCTGCTTCCATTTGCCACTTCTTGTGTAGCCTGAAGCCCTTCGTCCGAGGTGACATTTTCACCGCGAAGGTGGGCTTGCCTAGCGAGGGCCGCAGCCATAGCCTTTTTGAAAGGCACTGTCTTGGGGACAGTATCTTCCAGAAATTCGAGACTATCCTTATGAGAGACTGCGCTGGCTGGCAAAGTTGCGTTAGACCGGTGGCCCGTCTGTAGATCAAAATTGTGCGAGCACAACTTACCAACATCCTTGTACTGAATGTTCTTGCGCGGCTTTCTGTCTAGCTTGGCTTGAGTATGGGACTCGCTGGCGAGGTGCTGGACGAACATTTCCTACCAGAGTATTAGAGAAGATCAGCACCAAAGATGTGATTTTTGCAATAAACATACGGCGGCCAAAGTGATGACAAAGGCGGCATTGTTGGAGCACATGGCTACTTCAGGATCCTGGCTGATGATCTTCTTCACCCTCGACACTATATTGAAGTCAGCAAGAGGCGGCATATACATTGGGGTTGTGGCATCTGACGTGGAAGCTGAGTTTGCCCTGTAGGCTCCTTTCTAGGCGGAATCGCTGTCGTATTATAAGGCATGATGGATGTTGTGAATCAGAGTGGTTGGTAGAAATAGGCAGCGATGTATGGGCAGCGTGTCGGAAGTTTATCTCGTGCAAAAATATGGGCAAATGATATGTCTCGGGTCGCAAGATGGCAGTCGGGCATTAAGAAACTTGAAGACGATGAGGTGCCGGGTTGACGTGATGAGTACTATTAACCTAACGCGACAAAAGTGAAGGCGTGGAGTTGCAAGTGCTTTACGCGTTAACTTTACATGTGGTGGTGCGTGGGTCTGCACTTCCACCAACCGCGAAGCCCCTGTAACATTGCGCAACCTACAACCAACCTTCTGCGTCAGCCCAGCCTCGCAGCACTCACAATTTCGACAATCTACCGCCCATAGGGCACAACATGCGGCGCACATAACTGCACACAATCGCACAATAGAATCCGGTCCTTCGGTCAAGCCCCCAGCTACATCCGTCTTATCTTGGTCGAGGCTGCCCCGCAACAATGGTCCGGCTGCTGAGAAGATGAAATCCCCGACAGCATCATTCCGGTCGCAGCCTGGGCGGCGGCCGTCCATCAGCTCCCGGCTATCCTTTGCGGTGTCGCATGCCGAGTCTGGAGAGGCCATCGGCGCCACCGTGCCCGCGCAGGTGCAAATCGCCGAAGAAATCGCCGAGATTAAGCGATACGAAGACTTTACCACCATAGACTGGGTGCAGGACGCCGCCCGCGAACAAGCGAGACGAAAAGCGAAACAACGCCGCGCCGCTGGCCTGTACGCCCAGGGGCAGACGACCTGGCGCCATCGATTGTCACAGACATATGATGCTGCGCAAGGATGGATCGTCGTCACCATCATTGGGGCGGCCATTGGCCTGAATGCAGCATTCTTAAACATCATCACTGAATGGCTGGCTGATATCAAGCTGGGCCACTGCACAACCGCATTTTACCTCAACGAAAACTTTTGCTGCTGGGGCGAAGACAATGGTACGGTATTCCCGAACAGAGAGTCTTGGCCCGTTGCTCATGCTGATATTTTGCAGGTTGCGATCGATGGCACAAATGGACCGGCTTTGGCCCAATTAATTACTTTGTCTACATGGCCTTCGGGGTATGCAGGGTGACTCTTCTCGCGTAATCCACGCGTTGCTAACAATCACAGACCATATTTGCTTTTATATCTGCCACCTTGGTCCGATCATTTGCGCCCTATGCGGCTGGCTCAGGCATTTCGGAAATCAAGTGCATCATCGCAGGCTTTGTCATGAAGGGCTTCCTCGGATTCTGGACCCTCATCATTAAATCTATTGCCCTGCCGCTAGCCATTGCCTCTGGACTCTCCGTTGGAAAAGAAGGCCCCAGTGTGCACTATGCCGTCTGCACCGGCAATGTTATTTCACGACTGTTTACAAAGTACAAGAACAATGCCTCCAAAACGCGAGAGATTCTCAGCGCCTGTGCTGCTGCAGGCGTGGCCGTTGCCTTTGGCAGTCCTATCGGAGGCGTGCTGTTCTCTCTCGAGGAAATGTCCAGCTACTTTCCCCTCAAGACCATGTGGCGCAGCTACTTTTGCGCCCTGGTTGCTACTGCTGTTCTCTCAGCAATGAACCCATTCCGAACGGGACAACTTGTCATGTTCCAGGTCAAATATGACCGCGACTGGCATTTTTTTGAAATTTTGTTCTACATCATTATTGGTATATTTGGTGGCCTGTATGGTGCCTTCGTGATCAAGTGGAACCTGCGAGCACAAGCGTTTCGGAAGAAGTATCTCAGCAACTATGCGATCCTGGAAGCTACTTTGCTTGCCGCTGGAACTGCTCTGCTTGCGTACCCAAACGTCTTTTTGCGTATTGACATGACTGAGAGCATGGAAATCCTCTTCCTCGAATGCGAAGGCGGCGAGGACTACCAGGGCCTCTGTGATGCGGACAAGCGCTTTTGGAATATCATGTCGCTCATCACTGCTACCGTCTTGCGAATGTTTCTGGTCATTATCTCATACGGCTGCAAAGTGCCCGCTGGTATCTTTGTCCCCTCCATGGCTATCGGCGCATCTTTCGGACGAACAGTCGGCATCATTGTTCAGGCAATTTACGAAGCAAACCCAACCAGCGTTTTCTTCTCGGCTTGCAAGCCCGACGAACCCTGCATCACACCAGGTACCTACGCGTTTTTGGGCGCAGCTGCTGCCCTGAGTGGCATTATGCACATCACTGTCACCGTGGTGGTGATTATGTTTGAGCTTACGGGCGCTCTGACCTACATCTTGCCAACTATGATTGTGGTCGGCGTCACAAAGGCCGTGAGCGAGCTCTTTGGAAAGGGCGGTATTGCCGATCGCATGATTTGGTTCAATGGATTCCCATTCCTGGATAGCAAAGAGGATCACAACTTTGGCGTGCCAGTTTCGCAGGTCATGCGCTCCTCGGTGGTCTCGCTTCCTGCAAGCGGTCTAGCACTAAGTGAGGTGGAAGAACTTTTGGTCGACGATAAATACCAGGGTTTCCCGATTATTACGGATAGCAACACCAAGATTTTGGTCGGTTACATCGGCCGCACGGAGCTGAGATACGCGATCGATCGCATCCGACGTGAACGGCCTATGAGTCCGTCTGCGCGATGCCTTTTTACGCCACCACCCCCAGCCAACTCGGCAACCTCAGTTTCTACAACTGTCACTATGAATATGGATTCCATGTCCTCCACGTCTATAGACTTTGGTCGTTACGTTGATGCCACACCAGTCACTGCGCATCCACGGCTCCCCCTCGAAACAGTCATGGAGCTGTTTCGCAAGATTGGGCCCCGTGTTATCTTGATCGAATACCATGGCAAGCTGGCTGGGCTTGTCACCGTCAAGGACTGCCTCAAGTACCAATTCAAGGTGGAAGCCGAGGAGAACCCAAAGGATGACCAGCACATTATAGAGGGACAGGAGCAGTTATGGGGCGTTATTCGTCGCGCCAGCACTTGGATATCCGATCGTATACTGAGCGCTTCCAGAGGCAGGATTCGTCTAAGCGGGCAGTTCGACGAAGAAAGGCCAAGAAACCGAGGTGGCGCGATCCTGGATGGTGACGAAGACGTTGGCGATGAGGGGGTGGAAATGGAAAGACGCCAATCCTAATTCATATACACTTGGCAGTTATATCGAGCATCATTTTTCAAAAGCATAGCCGTGGTAGGCTATCGGGGAGTGTCATGATCAGCTACTACACAGTCTACAACACTAAAAGCTTGAATTATTGCACTGGCAGGTCCAGGACGTCCTCGGCATCTTGATCCCTGTATGCGAGCTCCGTTGCCTCCTCGGTGGCGTCGTGTTCGTCATGGACAATAAGGGGTTCTCTCTCCCTGGTAGCATCTGCGGAGACGGAATCATCACCGTCGTTTGTGCGTCCAGTAATGACGTTGCCAACGACGAGCAGAGAGGCCCCAGCCCACCAGAGAGGGGGTAGCCGTTCAGAGAAGACGGCAATGCCCAACAAAGCGGTGACAATGAAATTTGTCGAGGTATTCATGATGGAGACTTGAGTCGCCGATGTACCTCTGGCCAAGGCGGTCGTAAATAATGACCACATCTGGTAGAGGGTTAATAAACGTCCCGGAAGAATATTGAAATGTATGACTTACAACGCCGTTGAATACCAGGTTCAGGATAAAGAACATCTGTAGGGAAAGAAATCGTGAGTAGATCAATCTTGACACGGAGTTGCCAACACTTACGGCGCGAACCACATATTCAACAACATTCTCGTACTCTGACAGGCCCACGAGATTCGATATCGCATTGGAGAGGCGTGTCGTCAGCTCAGTTGTTGTTCTGTGATGTGTGAGTAGGAAATCGCCAGAGAGAGGCGTGGCAAGCGGCAGTGAGTGAGTGAAACATGTCCGCGTAGAGCACCTGTTCCGCGACGCCCGGGTTATCCCAAACTTACAATTTCGCAAAGGCGCCGTTGAAGGCGGCGCAGACGCCGCTGGCCATGGCGAAGAAGATCCATTGCGTCCGCGTGCTCCATTGAGCCGGCTCGGTGCCACCGGCTCGTTCCGTGGTCATTCTGGGCTTGCTGCGCGCAGAGTGTGGCTTCTCAGACGCGATCGTGTCTGAGGCTGGTTTGCGACGCTGTCGGACCATGGCAAATATATCATCAAGTTTCAAAAGGGCGCCCGCGGTAGGTATTGGTGCTGGATAATAGGGGGCGGCCGTAACGTCAATGGATGTGCCGGGAAGTTTCAGTGGACTGGCTAGCGGGGAGGAACTCCATCGTGTCACCACACTGACACCCCAATCTGAGGCACGCAGATTTGCCTCCGACGCATTACATCTTGGCTCCCGTGTATTTCAAGTTGATTTCATTTTGTCACATTTCCATAAAATATAGATAAAAAGAATGCTGATATCATGCTTGCGCCATCCGATAAGCTCCCGTCTAACCGTCTGATAAGACACCCCCAGCCGTGACCGTTGCACCAGTCTCCCGAGATCCATATATTGATGGAAAGATATAAACCAAATAACGCCGCTGAAGATGCACACAAAGCCGAGGCTCACGAGTCTAGTATTCACGATTAGAATGCCAACCGTACTGAGGTTTCTACGGACCCTCACCCGGTCGCTTCGCGTTGCAGCTGACAATCTTGACCTTGTCAGCCTGCACCGTATGGCTGCCGTTGTCCATCTTGAAGGTGACGTTCTTGATAAGGAATGTCCACACTTCGTCGCAGAGTCGGTAGGTATCGAGGCTTCCCTGTAGCACAGACAAAGGCAAAGGCAACTCGTTAGCAAATGTGCGTCCCTACTGCTGCCAGCCAGAGGCGCTACGGGGCATCTCTTTGGGCTTTGTACCTTGAACTGCAGGCGGCATCGGACGTTTTTCTGAAGCGCTTCCGTGATTGCCTGATCAAAATTTCCCAGGATCTTCATGGCCAGCTGCGGGTGGATGCGAGACTCGCTGATAAGGTCGTCGAGCGTATCCGTGAGCGCGAGGCCAATGCTGCAAAGGCCGGGTTAGCCAGAGTTCCGCCGCGCGCGCAGGCCAGTGGACTCAGTACCTGCTCCTGCGGTAGAGCTCATAGAACGATTGTGAACCGCTCGCCATGATGCCTGATTCCTTCCGCTTGGTTTATTCTCTTTGGGCGAAAATGGAACAGTGCAGCAAACGATATGTTGATCGCAGGTGCAGTGCAGGTGCCAAATTCCGATGACGCCAGGCACAATTGGAGATGGGTGAAGCTTGGCCTGCTGACTAATACTTTCGATCCTGCGGCCTCTCTCGTCATGTGACGTGCACCGTTAGTGGGTGCCTTGAACCAAGGTGTCTGAGCGGCGGCATTACAGGCGTCGCGCCAGATTGACTAGACCTAGAGCTCCGACAGCTTGCAAGCCAATGCCCTCAACAACGACGCAACGCCCTTGTCGTCACACTCCAACATCAAACAAGCCGGCGCAATGAGTCTCTACTATGGACTGGGCGGCATAGGGTCGTTTCTGACCGTTGTCCTATTATGTACGGCCTTTCCTTGGATGGACTAGGCATCCAGACCCTGGTTTGTGCTGAACGCAGCTGACGTCGTCGCCTAGATATGCTCTTTACCGGTGATGGCGAGTCCTTCAACGTCGGAGCTTTCCTCGAGAGCGTCTCACCCTTCGCATGGGCTGATCTGGGAATTGCTCTCTGCATCGGCTTATCGGTAGCCGGCGCGGCTTGGTGCGTCGAACTCTTCCCCCGACGTGCAGCAGGCTGCAATTTTGGAATTGGAATTACTAACGGACTGTAGGGGCATCTTCATCACCGGCTCCTCCATTCTTGGCGCAGCTGTCAAGGCTCCACGAATCCGAACCAAGAACCTGATTTCGATTATTTTCTGCGAAGTCGTTGCAATTTATGGCGTCATCATGGCCATCGTCTTTTCCTCCAAGATCGAAAACGTCTCTGGCCGCGACCTATACTCCGCCGATACCTACTATACTGGATTTGCTCTTTTCTGGGCAGGTCTTACTGTTGGCATGTGCAACCTTGTCTGCGGTATTGCCGTAGGCATCAATGGCAGTGGTGCGGCCCTCGCCGATGCTGCCGACGCCACATTGTATGTTTTGACTTGATGGATATGTCATGGTAGAATTCATCCGCTAATCGATATTCTAGGTTCGTCAAGATTCTAGTCGTTGAGATCTTCAGCTCCGTCCTCGGTCTCTTTGGTCTGATCATTGGCCTTCTTGTCGCGCAAAAGGCCCCCCAACTGGGCAAGACCGTTTGAGGTGGCAGGATATGTGTCTATTTCAGCAACGCCGAATCAATAAAGACATCTCAAGTAGCAATAATGAGTGGAGAAAATATATGCATTAGACTAACACGCGTGGTCTGGCGTTAGGAAAGGTCGGTCAGAGAAGCATATGCTTCCTGGATGTATTAATATATCCCTGGGTTAGCCGACATGTACATCAGCGCAAGGATCAATAAACTGCAAGATATTATCGTTTCAGTACGCGTTGCGCTTCTATCTCCAGTGACTACTTGGTGCCCTGCTTCTAGGCATAGCGGCTGGGTGGTCCTCTATGAACTCCTAACTGCATCCATCAAGAGGGCGTGAGCCTTGGAGCCCTTGTCCATTATTCCTCTGCCACTTGGCATGCATATCAATGCATTTGCAGACCGCAGGCTGCCGACTCTCGAGCTTCTCTGTCCTCCAGTACTGTTTGCCGTCAGCTGGCCATCGGCACCGACAGTCAGCACCGCGCGATGGTACTCAGGACGCGGATCCATGGGGAAGTCGTGGCCCAAAACCACGGGCACTCTAGGAAGGCCGACTGGATATATACCCGACTGCTTGTGGAGCGACGGGAGAACAAAGAGGTGAAAGGTCACAAGCGCCGAGGCGGGATTTCCGGGGAGAGAGAAGATGGCCTTGGACACGCGGCGGCCGGCATTATCCTTGACTGGGACGGTAGCAAATGTTGTTGGTTTGCCAGGCTTCATAGCGACACGGCCAAAATGAATCGTTCCTCCAAGAGACCGCTCAATGGTCGGCTTCAGGAGATCAAGCTCACCCATGGACACACCGCCCGTCGTGATGAGCACATCAGCCTGTCGCAGACCGGCGCGCAGAGTCTCCTCAAGGGCGTTGGACTTGTCTTTTGCGATGCCCAGATCAACCACTTCGTATCCCCACTCCTTTGCAGCTGAAATGAGCGTGATGCGGTTCGTATCGCGTACCTCGCCCAGTTTCAGTGCACCAGGCCGGTTGTACTCAATAATCTCATCGCCTGTTGATAGGATGCCGATGACTGGCCTTCTGTAGACGGAGGCTTCCGCCACTCCAACAGAAGCCAGAAGGCCGATTTCACCACCGACGCCAGAGATTTGCTCTCCTTTACCGAGGATGGTAGTACCTTGCTTGACGTCGCTGCCAACCTCGCGAACATTCTCGCCCTCTTTGACGCCTTCGGCCTGGATCTCCACTTCCTTTTCTTCCTTTCCGTCATTCGTCATACTCTTCAAAACAGTGTCCTCAACCATGATAACAGAAGTCGCCCCCGGAGGCAGAGGTGCACCGGTGGTTATTCTTGCAATCTGACCTTCCTGAAGAGCACCAATCTCTCCCGGCGCGGCATGTGAAACGCCAACGACGGGGAAAACGCCCTTCAAATTACCATCCTTTGGTGCAACAACGGCATACCCGTCGACAATGCTCGCTCTGAAAGCGGGAACATTCTCGCGTGCCTTGACTTCTTCAGCTAGGACGGATCCGATTATTTCTTGATCAATTTTTGAGCGCACAACCTCTGGCGGTGGTGTGAATTCGTCAATCATGGCAAGCGCGTCTTCGACGGATACCATGGGGTATGGTGATTCTCTATGGCGGCGTGTTGGCCCAAGAGATGGGTCGTTGGAAAGCGGGCTAGAGACTGGCCTCGTGTGACGGACTAGGTCGCCATGCCCATGCCCCTGGCTGTGACTGTGATCGTGTCCGTGGTGACCGTGTTCATGCGTATGCGAGTGGCCATGCGTATGAGAATGCTCATTTTCAATGATCCCAGCTTCCTTCTCCAGCTTCTTAGTACCACCAGAATGTAGCTGTCTGGAGTTAGCACCTGCAGCTTGTAAGCAGGCATGCGGCAGCGTCTTGATGATGGCCAGCAAGTTTTCTCTGGCTCCTTTAGGGGATCCTGGCAACGTGACAATAACAGTCTTGTTTCTTACGCCCGCAGCAGGGCGGGACATCATGGCGACTACATAGCTGTCAGCAGAAAGCCGCGAACGCTGGCGAAAGACCTACAAGGCGTGACAGCCAATGATGAAGACAGCATAGCATGAACTAGGCCAGGTGCTGGCTTATGAATTAAAGCCGAAACTGCCTGTGCTTATTCATCAGCATACATGATCCTATACAAAAAGAACACTCTCCGTACCTCAGGGGTAGTATCGGACACGGCGAACCCTGTGCCTCCTGTGGTGATGATGAAGTTTGGCGCATCAGGACCATCTGCCCACTGCATGATTTGCTTTTGAATATCAATGATATCATCGGAGACGATTCTTTCGTCCGCGACGACCCATCTCCCAGCGCCGTCAACATTGAACACTTCTCGGAGCACCGTAGCGGAGGCGTCTGTTGCGGGGTCCAGGGCCGCAGTGGTAGACACGATGAGGATAGCGGCCGTTAGTGAAGCATCCATGGTGGGGTTTTGGTTTCCAAACAAGAAACTTGTATTTGATGAAACCGGCTTGCAATTTCTTGGAGTTTGCGAGCTAAGCTTTGTCAAGAGAATGCGTCATCTATACACGTGCCACACCCCCACTGTATGCATAGTAGGGTGCTAGATAACCACAAGGCCACCATAGATAGCCATGAGGCCACGATCATGGCATATTTTACATTGAAGTATATTTAAATATAAAAAAAAACCTTACTACTTTTTAAATATTTTACATCTTATTATATAAAAAAGCTATTTATAAAAGAATTTAAGAATTTAATACTCAAAAGGGGTTCCTAACTCTTTCTATTTTAAGTATAATTTTAATTTTAGATATTATCTATCTATACTTATATTTAGTATAACTTTACGGCTTTTAGTGGCCGTATGGCTATCCAGCACCCTACTGTGCTGTGCATACAGTGGGGGTGTGGCACGTGTACGGAGTAGTGTAGACAATTTGTGCTGGAGCAGAGCTGTCTCGAAGCTTGTATCGAAGCTGCATCGAAGCTGTAGCAAGTTATCGGCAAGTCTATAGCGACACAGTTGGCGAAATTGCAGCCGTCCATGCCTCCTACCATTCACTGTGTCCGGCACGGGCAGGGCGTACACAACCTGTCTCATGACAACCACGACATGCCCGATCCCTCTTTGACGACGCTCGGCGAGGAGCAGTCACGAGAACTGGCCGAGAAACACGGTGGAGTGTTTGAAGGCGCTGAGCTGATTCTCGCGTCGCCGCTCCGACGAACCATCTCGACGGCGCTCTTGGCCTTCGAATCCATCCTGGATGGCGGCAGAAAAGTGGTCGCTTGGCCAGAGCTCCAAGAGGCTAGTGATCTGCCCTGCGATACAGGAAGCGACGTCGCAAAGCTGCAGGTAGAGTTTGATTCCTCCCCGGTAGATCTAACACTCGCTGTGCCCGGATGGGAAGTCAAGGTAAGAAGAGTTTAGATGGACTCCCCATCACCTTGCCCCATGCCGCGTCGTCTCGCGACAAGTGAGTTAATTCTAGTGTCTTTTGCTGTCAGACGGCGCAATCGGCCGCAAATTCAACCTCTCTTCTAGCTAGAGCAGCAAATGCCCGTGCTTGGTTGGCGAGGCGGCCTGAGAAAGAAGTCGTGCTAGTATCCCACGGCTGCTTTCTACATTTCCTCACTGATGACTGGGTTGGTTCGACATGCTCGCATAGTAAGTCTACGACCATGTCGCACACACGCATATCCCAATCTTATTCACCTCGAATTTGCAGTGACCAGCTGGAAGCATACAGAACTTCGCTCGTACAACTTTGTCGACGGCGGCGAGCACGGCCTATATCTTCAAGAGACGCCAGAGTCCCGGGAACGCCGGGGACTGTCACCGCTGGAGCCGACCCTAGCCGAGCGGTTCCGGCTCCGTGACATAGCAATCCAAAACTGGATCAAATGTGGTGTCATCTCATAGGCGTTGGTATTATCTTTACTTTCTATTATCCCTCTACTCCGTATAAGCTATGTTAGCTGCGCTGTATTTTATGTGTCACCACATTAATACTCCACAGTTCAGCGCCCCACCTGTTGCCCTGGATCGCGGCCAGCCTTCTAACTAAAACCTCGCTGTGTTTTCACACCTCCAGTTGCGCGTCACTCATCGTATCGCCGCCAGCAGTTAGTGAAAGCGGAAATCCCAACTAGTCGTCATGGTTCGCATAAAGGAGAGGTATCTCCTGGTAAACATCATTTACCCGCCAGAGTCTGCCAGCAAACATAAATCCGCCGTGCCATCTTTCGTGGTGCAACATCAACCCACAATCGAAAATCTCACAGCCCAGCTTCTTTTGAAAGCCATTCGCAATGGGGTCGCTCAGCTTTTCGGCGACCATGGATTGGGAGCCGTTGGCGGAAACTTAGCAGGTATGTATATATCTCTACACGGTGCGTGGTAAACAACATCCCTAATCATGAACAGTCAAATACTTATCGCTGGCCACATCAACCATCATTCTTCGGTGCCACAGGGAGCACTACCGCATGCTTTGGGCAGCGCTTACTCTCATGGACCACATTCCAGTCAAGGATGGACGTCCATGCACCTTTCGGGTTGTGCGAGTAAGCGGTACGATACGAAAAGCTGAGGAGGAAGCAATTCGCCAGGCACGTGCCTTGATCCTAGCAGCCAACGATGGCAGTGCGCTCAGCGCATTTCTACCTGTCGAGTCAGTTGACAACCAGACAGATGGTGAAGCAGAGGATGAAGTTGTGGAAATGGTCAGCGACGATGGCTGACGGGGTATCATTGTTTCCTAACTACTTTGATGCCACTATCAGCTGGGATGGACATGTCCCCAAAATCAGGGTCCATCTCAGGATTGCTCGGCGCCGATGGTTGCGGCGGCTGTATATCCATGTCCATGGCCTGTTGTTCCTGCTCGCGCCGAGCCTCCGCCTCCGCCTCTTGTTCCATCCGGTCATATTCATCTTTCTGGTCTATCCATCGCTCTTGGATGTCTTGAACATCCATCATTGATGCCTCATTCCGCATAGTCACTGCCCACACGGTGTCGTTTGCGCCCTCAGCGCTGCCAAATACATAGCCGCCGGCCCTGTCTATAACCCGAAGAAGGTGTGTCATGCTCTTCTTATTCTCGACTGCCAGCACCTCATAGCGCACCAGACCATAGCTTTCGATCATATTTGCAATGGCCTCGTGCAGTTTACCGAACTTGTCGCTTCGCAAAACGGGAGACTCGGCCTCCAGATAGGGAGTCAAATATGTAAGGTCATCGACGTCGGTATAGTATTCGAGGTTGAAAGGAAGCTCGTCATAAGAGGCGACTTTGTCGATTTTCGAGAGAACGTTCACATGCGGCATATCCATTTGGATCATGGCGCGGAGGGAGAGGAGAACATTCGAGACGTATAGAGACGGTTGGCTGAGGCAAATCGAATCGGACAAATGAACGGCAACAAACTTGACAATGTTAGCATAGGTCGCTTCCAGAGCCGACTAGAATACCCACCCGAAAGCTGCGTTTTTGCAGCTTGAAGAATATGTTGCGCAGAGAATTGTGATGTGTATATAGCTCCACTTGGCCAGGGCAATCAAATATGATATAGTCCTGGTCAAATTCTTTCAGACCTTCTTCTAGCCACTCGTAGTTGTGTTCCAGCTCTTCGAGAGCATATAAGATGCCGCCATTGGGGCCGAGTCTGTCCTCTCGCATGATGTCTTCGAGCTTGACGAGGCTTCGGATGTCCAGGGCGCAGGGGTAGTTGGTATGCTCATTTGCTGGATCGAGATTCACGACGGAGCATGCGCGCCCGATTGCGCCCATGAATTGATGCACTGTCGCCAAAGTTAGCCCTTGGTGATGTAGCTAGTGGTGGGCGTTTGTGACGTACTCCCATCGCAGTAGGTGCTCTTCCCCGCACCAGGGCTACCTAGCACGAGCTGAGCAAAAGGCATTGAGGAGATTATCTCGGGATTCCAGTCCAGAATTACTCTAGAAGCTTATTTGCGACGAAATTTGACCTTGGATTGCAGCATGAGCTAGATGAATGGACTCGGTTTGACCTGTTTACAGCGCGTGCCCCTCCAAAGTCACCCAACTTTTTGGTGGGGCTACCACTGGGGCGGCGGAACCTCGGGCTAAACAGCGTTGAACTCAGCTTAATTTCAACAAGCTCTCCTAATAAAAGCTACCTAGGTAGTTTTCCCTTACCCACGCAAAAATCTCCTCAGCTGTTCCGCCACGCAGCTTCTTCGCTGACTGGCACGCCAGCCTGCATGATGCTCTGCCACCGCGTCGGAGATCATAACCAGCCATGGCGTCCGACTTATCCACTGCTGCCACTCTGGCGGGCAGTCTCACTGTCGACATGAGCACTTCCACCGTCGAGCTTGCCCCCAAGGCTGGCTTTGGCTGGTTCGGCATCCTTGGCTGGATCATCCTCACCGCGATCAACCTCGTGTCCATGACCCTCTACTGGGCCATCCGCATCGTCACCATAACTGTTCCCAGCTTGCTCTACGCGCTGCTATCCGCTAGCTGGACGGTGACGATGAATGCTACCACACTGTATGTCTTTAACTGCTCTCTGCTGCTGCTGCCAGCTCTAACGCCTTTCAGCATCTTCATTATGGTAGCGATCGCATCGGCTGTTAGCTGGGTTGTGAGATACCGCATTCTGAATATGTACTCGCGACTACCGCCCGAGCCTCAACGCAAGGAGCCAGATATCGACCTCTTTCCTGATACCCATGAGGAAGGAATGAAATCTGGGCTCTCCAATTATCTGGATGAGTTTCTAAGCGCCATAAAGATATTTGGTTATCTTGAGAGGCCCGTCTTCCACGAATTGACCCGAAGCATGCAAACCAGGAAACTGATTGCAGGAGAGACGATCAATCTGGAAGAGGAAAAGGGCTTCTGCATTGTTGTTGACGGTCTAGTTGAGATCTTCGTCAAAACTGGCCAAGATGCCCGCAATTCTGGCCACTCTTCCGCTGAGCAGTCTTACCATGACTCCTCTGAAGACGAAGAATATATGGCTAGAGGCCAGCAAAACTACCACCTCCTAACGGAAGTGAGGAACGGCGCACCCATGTCTTCGCTGTTTTCCATCATGTCTCTCTTTACCGAGGACGTCAAGCTCAAGGTTGCGGATGACAACGAAGTCCAGCCAGAAGGCCCGGATTCTGGCCAATTCGTCCCAACGTCAATGCCAAATACGCCAAATCTGAACGCCAGGTCCGGACGGCATCCTCTTGTGACAGACCACGAGACACAGCCGCAGACACCACTTAGGGCTACTGGATCGGGTATCCCTCCAATGTCACTCAATGATACAGTGCCCGCCATCCACCAACCACCACAAAGACCGAAGGCACCGAAGCGTCGCGTATCGCAATCGGTTCATCCTGACATCATTGCCCGTGCGACGGTCGACACTACAATTGCTATCATACCTGCTCAGGCATTCCGAAGGCTCATCAAGATTTACCCCAAAGCCACTGCCCACATTGTTCAAGTTATTCTTTCTCGATTCCATCGCGTCACTCTCGCTCACGCCTTCAACTATCTCGGATTGACCGGCGAAGTCTTTCAAACGGAGAAGAACATTCTCAAGTTTACTTCTTGCCAACTTCCCAACGCATTGCGCGGAGATGCTCTCTCACGACTGAAGGCAAAGTTCAAGCGTGAGCGGGAACGAATGAAGGACAGCCAGGAATCAAAAGGCATCGCGCTTCACAACTCAACCATCATTCCTCAGCGTCACTCCAGCACGACTCTCCGCAAAGAGATTGTTAAACATGCTGTAGCTAAGCAACGCACCTCGTCCATGTCTAGCAATGTCGGCTCGCCGAAGGAACGGCCTCCCCATCAACACAAGGCACAGCCTGGCGACCTATTGACCGACATAAACCAAGCTCGCAACGGTCACAGGCAGTCAGACTTGGATCCCAAGACGCCACTTGCTCAGCGATCTTTCAATCCCTTCGATTCAGAGAAGCATGCACGAATCTCTGTGGACCCACGAGATCTCGCCGAAGAAGATGGCCTGTTCCGCACCTGCATCCTCGAGTGCATCTTGAAGACCCTAGGCCTCGATAACGGTGGTACGACCTCTAGAGAGCCGGAATCATTAGAGGCATCCCCCCGTATTGGCTACATGGATCAGCGCCGAGCACGGGGAGTCTTTCCGAGTAACGCTTTTGGGTTTATGGGGCCATTTGAGACGTCTATCGACGGCGAAAGTGAATCTGTCACCTCTAGCAATATGGGATTGCACGGGACCCCCAGTGCTGCTATGCTCTCGCAAGGGATGAAGAATGAGATGGAAATCGTATTCTTTCCGAAGGGCTCTATCCTTATCCAGCAGGGAGAACGAAGCCCTGGCATATACTATGTTGTGGATGGATTCCTGGATATCAGTGTCAGCCAGCAACCATCCCGAGAGATGTTGCACAAGACCAGGCCGAAATCCCCTGAGACGAAGAGTCCAGACAGGCCGAGCGGCGGAGGGAGCCACGAGCGTTCCCAAACTCATAAACACACAAGCCATCGGCGCAGCGTTGCGTGGGTGAAGCCTGGTGGCATTGCGGGCTACATTGGGGGTGTTTCGTCGTATCGTTCTTACATTGACGTGGTGGCAAAGACCGACGTTTATGTCGGCTTTCTTCCCCGTGCGTCATTGGAACGGATTATTGACAAGTATCCCATCATTCTGCTCACTATGGCAAAGCGATTGACCAGCATTTTGCCACGTCTGATTTTGCATATTGACTTTGCCCTGGAATGGGTACAAGTCAACGCAGGCCAGGTCATTTTCCACAATGGCGATGAAAGCGAGGCTATATACGTGGTGTTAAACGGTCGCCTCAGGCTCGTCGAAGAACGGAAGGATGGTGGTGTGGAAGCAAAAGCCGAGTACGGTCAAGGCGAAAGTGTCGGAGAGCTCGAAGTGCTTACAGAAACCGCTCGCCCCGGAACTCTGCATGCTATTCGCGATACGGAGCTGGTTAAGTTCCCACGCACATTGTTTAACAGTCTCGCGCAAGAGCATCCCAACATCACTATCAAGATCTCCAAGATTATTGCGGCCCGCATGCGTGCCATGATGGACGATCCAATGAATCTCGTCGGTGCGGATGCCGGCTCCGGTGCCATTCGAAACCATGGCAAATCCACGATGAATTTGCGGACTGTCGCAATTCTACCCATCACGGCAGGTGTACCTGTGGTCGACTTTGCCAGTCAGCTCATGAATGCACTCTCGCAAATGGGCATGCCGAATGGTGCTACGTCACTCAACCAAGCTGCTATCTTGAACCACCTAGGCAAGCATGCTTTCAGCAAAATCGGAAAACTACGTCTGTCCCAATACTTGGCCGATTTGGAAGAAATGTATGGGCTTGTAGTTTACGTGGCTGGTAAGATTTATTTGTTTTTGTTCTCGTTTTACACCAATCGAATGATGAGTAATCCTAAGCCAAAGGCACCGCCGCTGATGGTTCTTTAACTCTAATTTTTTCCTGACACGATTGACAATTGCACATTTCAAAATTTCCCCTTTCGATTTTGACAGAAACTAATGTCCCATTTTCTCGTTACAGATACCAGCGTCAACTCGCCTTGGACGCAGACCTGCATCGCACAGGCTGACAGTATTCTTCTGGTTGGCTTGGCGGTATCGTCACCGGAAATTGGCGAGTACGAGCGGTTCATGCTTGGAATGAAATCAACTGCATGGAAATCATTGGTACTGCTACATGCTGAACGATTTTCAAAATCTGGGTTGACAAGATCATGGCTACGAAACCGTATGTGGATCAACGGTGGTCATTTTCACATACAAATGGCTTTCACAGAAAGCGAAGTGAGGGTAATACCAACTTCGAAGAAACTTGGCCAAACGCTCAAGCAACAACTGCAAATTCTGCAGACCGAGATTCAAAAGTACACGACAAAGAAAGCACAGAGCTATTACATTCCTGACTCACCGATGAAGAGCGACTTCCATCGCCTGGCCCGTCGACTCTGCGGCAAGTCTATTGGTCTGGTCCTTGGTGGTGGCGGGGCGCGCGGCATTTCTCATATCGGCATCATCAGAGCAATTGAGGAAGCAGGTATCCCTATCGATATCGTAGGAGGCACATCTATAGGTGCCTTTGTAGGGGCTTTGTATGCGCGCCACGCCGACGTGGTGCCCATGTTTGGCTTGGCGAAGAAATTTGCTGGGCGCATGGCGAGTCTCTGGCGTTTTGCCCTGGACTTGACTTACCCGTCTGCCTCTTACACCACGGGCCATGAGTTCAACCGAGGCATCTTCAAGGCTTTCGGCAAGACGCAGATCGAAGACTTCTGGCTCGAGTTTTACTGCAATACCACCAACATCACGAAGAGTCGAAATGAGTTCCATACCAGTGGATACGCGTGGCGTTACATCCGCGCCTCCATGTCTCTTGCTGGTCTGCTTCCACCTTTGTGTGATGAAGGCAGTATGCTGCTTGACGGTGGCTATGTCGACAATTTGACTGTCTCACATATGAGAGGCCTGGGGGTCTCGAGCATCTTCGCCATCGACGTTGGTGCTGTGGATGACGACACACCGCAAACGTACGGCGACTCGCTGTCGGGCATGTGGGCGTTTTTCAATCGCTGGAATCCATTCTCATCGCACCCCAACCCGCCTACGCTGGCCGAAATTCAAGCGCGTCTTGCGTACGTCTCCAGCATTGACGCTCTGGAGAGCGCCAAGCTGATTGAGGGGTGCATCTACATGCGTCCTCCGATTGAGGCGTATGGCACATTGGATTTTGCCAAGTTTGACGAGCTGTACCTTCTTGGGTACAAATACGGCCAGGATTTCATGAAGAAGCTGCGCGAGCAAGGCAAGCTGCCTTTGTCGGAAGAGACGGAAGCGAAGCAGTCGATGCGGCGCACCACAGCACGCAGACGAGCAAGCATATAGACATAGACATAGATAACCCAGATGTATGATTATTGCAGAGTATACGATTAGCACGCATCAATACATGTATCAACTGGTCATGATATTCATTGGTCTACTATTTAGTGATGCATCATGATGTAGGTATAGTCGAACATGTAGGCAAAATCTCTGGCAATATATGTACCGAAGTATGGCGAAATCATTTCTTGAGCTATGCACCATGACAATACGCCGTGTCTACTACGCTTTGGCCAGCAGCGCTTCCGTCTCCTTGACAATCAGGTCAAACGTGGCCTGGACGTGCTCCTCGCGCACCGCAGCCGTGCTGGTGGACACGCGAATGGCAAAGACGGCATTGACGACGGTGCTGGTGAGGTAGACCTGGCCGGACGCGTTGAGGGTCTCGTAGAGGGTCTCGGTGCGGGCGTTGCGCTCGTCGTCGTCGGCGCCGACGACGCGAAACGAGACGAGGGCGAAGCGGGCGGGCGTAAACGAGACAAACAGGTCCGGGCGGGCGGCGAGCTTGTCGTCGAGCGAGCGGCCGAGGTCGATGCCGCGCTGGACGTGGGCGCGCAGTCCGGCGAGGCCGTAGCTGCGCAGGACAAACCAGAGCTTGAGCGAGCGGAAGCGGCGGCCGAGGGGCACCTGCCAGTCGCGGTAGTCGGTGACGAGGTCCGAGTCGCTAAACTCGTTGCGCAGGTAGGCGGGCTTGATGCTCAGCGCGGTGATGAGGTCGGCCCGGGACCGCACCCACACGGCGGAGCAGTCAAACGTGGTCAGCAGCCACTTGTGCGGGTTGAAGTTGAACGAGTGGAAAGCGGCGAGCGGCGGCGTCAGGTGCTGGTACTCTGGGAGGATGAGCGCGGAGCCGGCAAAGGCGGCGTCGACGTGCACCCAGACGTTGCCCTCGGCGGCGGTGGCGGCAGTGCCGTTGGTAGTGGTGGTGGTGGTGCCGTTGTTCTGTGCGCTCGTGTCGGCGGCGGCCAGAGTCGCCGCAATGCCGGCAAAGTCGTCGACGGCACAGACGTCGGTGGTGCCGAGCGTGGCGGTCAGATAAAACGGTTCGAGGCCCTTGGCGCGGAGCTGGGCGAGCTTGTCCTGGAGAGCCGGGCCGGTCATGGCGTAGCCGCTGGCCTCGTCGACGGGCACGGTGTCGAAGCGGACGCCGAGGACCTGGGCGGCCTTTTTGGTGCTCGAGTGGGCGCCGGCGCTGCCGAGCGCGACCATTCTGCTGCGGTGGCGCCACATCTGCTCGTCCCTGTCCTCGCCGTCGGGCAGGTGGGCGGTGACGCGGGCGAGGTAGCGGTCGCGGGCGGCGACCATGACGGTGAGGATGGCCTCGGAGGCGCTGCCGTGGAGGACGCCGCCGCCGTGGGTCGGCCCGCCGGAGAGGTAGCAGTCGGGCAGGGCGAGGGCCTTGGCGAGCCAGTCGAGGACGACCGTCTCGAGCTCGGTGACGGCCGGGGAGCAGATCCAGTTAAAGTGCGCGCCGTTGAAGGCGTTGGACCACATCTCGGCAATGTTGGCCGGGTGCGAGGCCGTGCACGCGAAAAAGGCCATGAAGCCCGGGTGCGCCCAGTGCGTGATGCCCGGCATAATCTTGGACTGCACGTCGGCCACAATGGCCTCCATCGACTCGCCCTCGAGCGGCGCCGCATCGGGCAGCAGCGGCCGGAGGTAGCCGGGCCGCACGTCGGCGAGGACGGGGCGCGACGGGATCGATTCGTAGTAGTCGGCGACTGCGGGACACACAAGTTTTTAGCTAGGGGAGGGAGAGGGGGGGTTGCGATTTCTCGGAGCGCCGACAGATGGGCGACGAACTTGGTCATGGTGGGGGAGGGGCAGCGCGACCATGGGCAAGGGCACAAGACGCGGGGGGGTGGCAGCGAGATTCCGCTACCAATTGCGTGGAAAGAAAGCAAGGGGAGGAGAGAGGACAGGGGGGGGGGGTCTGTTGGTCTCACATACTGTCGTCGACGGCCTTTTTGGCCTGCTTTCTATATTCGTTAATGTCCATGACGGTTGTTGCGGAGTGAACCGAGCCTGTTTGGCGCAGACAGCAGAGAATGATGCCAACGACGCTCTCTCTTATATCTCCAGAGATGCCTTTGTGCACCACAGTTTATATGCAGACTGATCGGCACTGTCACGGCAAGTGGCAAAAGGGCCGAGATGTTCGTCCAATGTCAAAGCTAGGTCACCAAAGGGCGCAGAAGCACACGAGACGTCCATGGGAATGGCGCGCGCGGAATCAGAGTTCCGAAGGTTTTGTGTGGTGGGTTTTGACTTACTTGCTCCGCCCTCGCACCATGTGTGGGGGAAACCGAATGAGTGGAATGAGCAAAGGCTGAATTGAATGCTGAATGCTCATAGTCGGTCAGCTTGGGGCTGGTGCTACGGTGAGGTGAATTGGAAGCGTTAATTATTCGCTAAAAAGGAACTAGGTTTGTAGAAAAAAAAAGAAAAGATTCGACTTGATAAAGATTGCCTGGTGCAGCCGCACATGATCTGCGCGCCTTCGCATGAGAAAAGAAAATGACGCCCGTATTACGCCGTGCAAAGTGCAAACATCTAAAGACGCCCACCCAGGTGTTGACATCATTTCGGTTCGTAAAAGAGCAGAAGCTCGCCAACAAGTGTCGGGCACTTAGTCAGCCTTGATGGCACTGCAACACAGTCAGTACATGATTATAAATGCAGAAACCTCTCTCGCCAGTCCAACTTACCCGTATATCCGCCTCACAAACGCATAGGCGCTCAGGAAGCCAATCGTGCCTGTCAAGAGCGCATACACGCAGCACGCAATAAACGTGTATACAAAAAACAACATGCTGCTCACAAAACCCGTAATATGCAGCTTGAACATGTAATACCACACAGAGTACGCAAAAATCCACACCGCGCTGCCGCCGCCCACAAAGAACGACTGCCACCACCAGTGGTAGTTCTCCGAGCACAGCTGAATATAGATCGTCACCACAGTCACCTCGGCAATCGTCACCACCAAGATGACCGAGACGACCGCCAGGAAGCCAAACATGTAGTAGAAGCCGCTCTTGTTCTGCCACAATGACTGAAACACAAACAGCAGCTCGATAAAGATGACGGCAAAAGGAATCAGCCCTGCCAGCAGCACCGCCTGCGCCGACTTGCTGTACCACGCGTGGTTCGGCAACTGGCGCGGAATCGCCGTGGCTTTGGTCGGGTGCTGCCACCCGCCAGCTTTTTCAAACCCGTAGTAGGCACCGGCGTACACAAGCGGCACCTGGAAGCAGAGCCACAAAACCACAATCAGGACGAGCGAGCCGAAAGGAATGGCCGTGCTCGACGCCTGTGCCCAAACGAACAAGTTGACAATAAAGACAAGACCAAACATCAACCCAGGAAATAGCAGCGCCGTCACCATGGCATTCTTGCGCCAATCTCTGCCATCAAAGCTCTTGAACACACGGGCAGAAAAGTAGCCCGAGAAGACGCCCGCAAACACGAAGAGGCCCACGCCAACACTGATGAAGCCTCCGCGGAAGCTAGGGTTCAAGAATCCCAGAGCGCTGAGCAGCACCAGTCCCACCGCCATGAAGAGAAGCTGCATGCCGGAGCCGACGAGCGGCGCAAGCAAGTAGCCATGTTGCGGTGCTCGGAAGACGTCGGTGTGAAGCAACTTCCAACCTGTGACATCCTCCAAGGCGTCTTCAGTGTCGGATAGATCATCATCCCGGCCATCCGTCCCCTGGTCCAATAACCCCGGTGGAACGTCCTTCATGACGCGCTTGCCGCGAGACTTACTCTCCAACGTTTCCTTGTAACCCTTAATGTCCGAATTTACAGTACGCGCAAAAATGACCAGGACAATGGCAGTCAGCATGCCGCAGATGATCAGCGAGTTGACAATGGCAAGCCAGTGAATGCGCGCACCGTCCTCTTGGTTTACAAAGTACAGATCCCAGCGGCGGGACCACTCGATCGTGTTATCTTCCCTAAAGTACACCGAGTAGGTATACGGGACTGACAGGATGCCAGATTCGCTCTCATCGTCGGCTCGCCGTTCCATCTGTTGCACATTTCCGTCGCCATAGCGTAGTGCGGCCTCGGTCGTTCTGTTGGGTCCAATATAGAGTTCCAAACCTCGCTCGACATGCTGCAAATCGACAGGGCAACCTTGGGCATCGCGTTTGCTACCACTGCCGATACTCTTGGGATAGACCTCGAAGCCGACTACAATCTTCTCGCCACGGTCGCCGGCCTTGCCAGGGGCTTTGCGATAGCGAATGACAATGGTGTGGTGGTTGTTGAGATAGTAGTGGGTTTCCCGAGTTGAGGGTGAGACCTCGCTGTAGCCGAGCTTGAAGCCCGAAGCATAGTATTTGCGCGTCTTGTCAACACTGATGAAGCTGGTGGCACCGGGGAGATTATCGACAATCCACTCGGTAACGTAGGTATCACGGATCATGTCCTTGGCGCGCTGCACGTCGTCCTTGTTAAGCTCCTTTGTACAGAGAGCTTTGCACTGCGTCTCCTGGTTCATGATCAATTCAATATCTGATATTCGGATTCGATCGCCGCGGAGGACTTCGCCGAGGTTGAGAGGGACGTTTTTGCCGCTGAGCAGGCCACCGACCGACTTGGGATGATCGGACGGCGGACAGACGAATGGGAGGTCGTAGTAGGCATACTGGAGCTGTGTGCTGTCGGAATAGGCCTTGTTAACCATGAGAGGAACTGATTCGCCAGCTTTGTAGCTTTTGATTGAGTATCCTGCCCTTGAGTTAGCAAGTGTCTAGGCGCAGGGAAGCAGAGGCGGTATCGGGCGCCAGCTGCGACATACCTGGTACATAAAAGGCATCGACAGAAGCCAACAGAAACAAGGGCGCCAGGCCACCGAGGCTGGAAGCTGGAAGCCGGACCATGGTGCACAATCAACTGCCAGGTCGTGTGACACGAAGGGGGGGGTTCGGACGTTGAGCTCGGCTGGTGCGGAATCAAGGATGACCGAGACAAAGAAGGTGTAGATGGCAGTTGTATCGGGCCAGATTCGATCGCGTGCAGATGATCTTCGAATCTAGCATCAAAATCGAAGCCCCTGGAAATGGCTATAAAGGTGATGGAATATTGCGGCAAAAACGAGTGTAATTGGCACTAATGGCCAGGTAGGGGGGTCGACGAGGGGGCAGGAGGAGTCGAGGACACGCTGGGATGCAGCCAAAGAGGCGCAACTGAAGAAGAAATGCGTAGTACTGTCGAGCTCGACGGAACAAGGGTCGCGTCGAAAAGGCTGAAGACGGTGTGACGAGAAGAAAACGGACAGACGAAGAAAAAAAGGGTTATTAGGGAGGCTAACGCCAAACGAACAAAATGCCAAGTCAATCCATCTGTCTTAACCCAAGCGATACGGGGGTGTCAGGGCGGGGGCGATCTTTGAGGGGCCCGCTGTAACTAACGGTACTACCTACCTAGGTAGTTAATATGTAAGGTAAGTCACTTCTCTGAGCTCTCCAGCTGCCTCAGGGTGCATGGCCTCTGGAATTAGCGCACATTCAGTCGGAAAAGGGGGTCGGCCAGCGAGATTCTTGGCATCTTTCTTTTTACCTCAACAGAGAAACCAGGCTGCGACCCCGGGCCAACCTTGAGCCAATCACAGGCCGCGCAGCTGCCACGCCTCACAACACTGATCCAGCTTGATGCATCGGCAATGACATGATGGCTAGTGTGGTTGCGTGTTGGTCTACATTCCAAAGTCGATGAGACCATCTGCAGGTAATACAAAGATTCGGCCACGTCATAGAAACAAAAGTGACTTGTTTAGGGGGGTTCTCTTTGAGGAGCCATTGTATTCGTAGGTCTATGTATTACCAAGTCCATGTCCTTGTAGTATATGCGGCTCGGAGCCTCCAAAATCAACAATGTGGAAACAATTTCACATCATCCCAGCGTACATGCTTGAAAACTCGATAATGCTTTTTGCAGTGCTCTTCTATAAGACAAATGACCCAGGTGAGGATTAAATAAAAAGACGCGCAATGAAATATAGTAACTTAGGGTAAACAAATAAGAAACAAACAACAAAACTATTAGTGAATGACAAGTCGTGGGTATCGTGATATAGGAATCAGGCGACTGGCGCTACTGGAACGGCCGCTCTACGGCTCAGCTCGCTGTAGCCAGGCAAAAGGGTGTTGGTTTGTGGTGCATCCTCCGAGGCTGCACGGCGAATGCGCGGGCGGAGGTAGCTGTCAGCTGCGGCCTCTTCGTCGCGGGCCATGACACTCTCAAAGCTGGGCAGCGTGCCGCCTTGGGGATCGTCATGGATGGTCTCAACGCCAACCTGGACCGGTACCGACAGCGTCATGTTGGTGTTGGTGGGGCCAACGCTGAGGCACAGCTGCAAGACATAGGTGCGCGAGATGAGGCACGAGTGGAAGGTGGGCAAAAAGATCTTGCGGTTGGTGTTGGTGATGGTGAATGGTATGTCGAGACTAGCGACGTGCTTAATGGCCGAGCCAGCCTTCTTGTTGCTGTTGCCGCTGCTATTGGCCACGCCATCCGTGTCCGGCGACAGGTGCGAGCTCGAGTAGCCCGAGTCGCGGCGGCCCGTGTCCATCTTTTCTTGCAGCCACGAAATCTTAGACACGCTGTGGCTAAAGACAGGATTCGTCGTGACGTAGTTGAGGCACGGGTTGCCGTGGTAGGCAGTGCGTGGGCCCAGGTTGGGCATGTAGTTGACGGGGGCCGCGCCAAAAAAGGTTGTGGACAACATCTTAGCCGATACCGAGTTGATCTTGGGCGGAGCGGTGTCGACGGAGTCGGGCACGAACTCGAGCCTGATGTGTGCAGCCGACAGAGAGGCATCGCGGCCATCGGCGGAGAACATGACAGCCTCGGGTTGGGTCGAGGTTGCCGTCAGCTTGCCCGTCTTGGCGGAGAAGAGGTTTTTGCGGATCGTCTTGGTCTTGACCATAGTGTAGCGCTCGTCCCGGAAGGTGATGTCGAGGGGCGCATCCTCGGGGCTGGCGGGCAGCACCTTGACAACGTGCTGGCCTTCCATCACCTTGGTGGCAGCGAGGCCGTCGTTTTCCCGCTTGACGGCGCGGGCCTTGACGGCATACTCGATCTGGGCCATCTCGGGGGCCTGGTCGTCGGCGCTCCAGAATCCAATGGTCGGGGGCAGGCGCAGGTGGTGATCGAGGACGTCGCCAACCTCGCACTGGTGCTTGCAAGCGCCCATGGGAAGCTGGTGAGGGACGACGAAGTGGAAGGGAATGGTGTAGGTGCGGCCGGTCTTGAAAATGCGGTCCTCGGGGACATGGTCCTCGGAAATGGGCATGCGCAGCTTCAGAAAAGGCCTGAAGGAGTGGGATGGGTATTGCTGAACAAAGTCGAGGCGGGTGGCGGCGATGCCAGTGAAGACAATGTCAAAGTGGTCAAAGGCAATGTCGCGAAGCGTCTTGATAATGGCGCGGCCAGCAACGACGGATCCCGAGGTGTAGACCCTGGAGTTGTAATGGCGATCGATAATGACATCAATGGTGGGCTTAAGGGCGGCTACCGCCTTGGAGCGAGCAGCCGCCCGGCCGCGAGGGTCATTGGCGTCGGGCATGTCGGTGTTGTTGTTTTCTTGTTTTGCTTGCAACTCGATGGGGAGTTTGGTCGTGCAAGGTTTCCGCGTTGTTCGAGGATGTAGAGAGAGACGTATATATAGGTGCGTTTATATCAGGTCCATAGACAGACAACACCCTTGAAAATGACGTGCTGGGTATGTGGATGACAAATGACTGAGCACGAGGCTATCAAAGGGCGTCGAGTTGTCAAGAGGATGTCAGGATTAGTGATTAGGGAACACTAGCTGCCGATCAACGAGCGAGCAAGTGATGTTGTGAGGTGTAGTGTAGCGGTGAGAAGGATGCGAAGCGATGTGCAGGTACAATTTGAAAAGCAATGGGTAGGTTGGTGGGTGGTAGGAGAGAGGGCATACGCTCTTTTTTATTTCATACGAGAGATGGAACTGGTCACTTGTTCATGGGGGGGGTGGCCAAAGGAGCCAACTACCTAGTCTCAAGCGTCGGATCGAAACGGCGACTGCACTCTCGCTCGGATGAATGCTAACAAAAAGTGTGGAGTGTCAAGCTTTGGCGGTAGTACTAGGTAGGTAATTGCTCGCCGTGTTTTGTGTTGGCAGCTGGCAAGTCGGCATTGGCAAGTGCAGCTGGCAGACGCGTTTGTAGCGGCGGTAGTGGTACAGGCTGGGCGTGTGACCTGGCAGGTGTGGCGAAAGCAAACGCCACACATGTATGGCCGCAACCGCTACTGGAAGTACGTACAGCGCTCTTGACACTTCTAAAAGCCACCCGTTCATCCTCCGATTCGGATCCTTACCTAGAATTAATTAGTGGCGCCGTTAACTCGGTATTATTAGAAAACTAGAAAATTCTGCCAACCACCCAAGCGCGCCGCGAACAGAAGGATCCATCTTGTCCGAGAAAAAAAAAACCCATCCATCACCATCCATGGCCACTATTCCATGTCAATGACACACAATGCTCCCAAACCCGCATCACCAGCCTATCAACTCTGCGATCTCGCCAGAATCAGCCCTCATCCCGCCGTACCACTGTACATGAACTTTCCGCATTTTTCTACGACCTCATCTTGTTGACTTTCGTTCTTCTTTGTTTCTTGCCGCGGCCAGTGTGTGGGAGGGGGCGAGGAACGGAATGGCCGAGAACCGACGCTGCCTGGCACTACCTAATAATACAAAACACGGACACAAAAAATATGAGGCTGTGGTTCACGATGCCTGAGTGTCTAGTCAGGCACACCCTGTCGCCTGCGATGACGAGAAGACCCCTCCCTGCAGTCCCCTCCCACCATCTTGTGAGGCTCCTCCCACCATCTTGGCAACAACTTGTATGAGCAAGCCACGCCATTCACACCATTTCACCAGGAAACACGCGTCGACCTGCTGCAACACTATTACTCGGTATAGAAAGAGTTTGACTAAATCTCGATCTGATGCCTTGTCAGCTACTGATGAGCATGCAGAGTGCGCTCGCCGCATGCGGCTCCATCAAGTGGCTCCAGCTTGCCATGGCAAAGAGTGAGGTTCAGCAGGATGCGATTTCCGCCACAACTATCCGAGATCCATTGTTTTGGCTTGTGCATTCGCATTGGCCCTTTTACCCTGGTGAGGCTCAGCGGAAAACCGGCTGCTGCCATAGTACAGAGTATATGCCATATGGTTGGTATCGCCGCATCACCAGAGAATACGCATGCATGTCGGTGGTAGAAATCTGGCTGCAGTCGTCCCAAATGCATATTTCCTCGCACCAGTCAACAACTTCGCCCATACTGGACAGCAGCGCGCACAATGCAATGCACCTCGATATGACGTGACATGCCGCAACATGGCGGCCATCTCTCCCTCGTCCAGGGGTCCTTGTCCTCGGTCCCTTGGTCTCTATTCCGCTACCCGCTGAGAGCCACGAGATCATGCTCGACTCCATCGCCAAACCATCTGGAACAAAGTCTGGTTCGGTCTCGAACTTGAAAAGATGGGCCCTTGGATGGTGGATCGGGCAGTTATGCGGGAATGATGGGACAAGACAAGACCTGAGAGCCTCCTGCAAGCCATGCCGCTGCCACTACCGACGCAGCTTAGCTCGTCATCCCATTTCCCCAATATATTCCATCGAAAAGTTGAACTAGTCATTAGTGCGCTTCTGTCCGGCAGGTAAATGTATTCTGATGCCCTGTTTGGGAAAAGTGCTGGCAGCGGATAGGGCAAGCATGGGGCACATGGTTCGGCCCCGAGAACGCCAAAAAATCCACTGTCGATTCCGTTACTTAACTATTTATTGGGTTGCATGTAGTTGAAGTTGACGAGCTATCCACTGTCGATTCCGTTGTTTATTGGGTTGCATGTTGAGTTGAAGTTGACGAGCCGTCTCCAAACCCACGACACTGAAGCATCAGCCAGTTCTGTGTATACACTGTAGTTAACTACATACACACAGAAAGCAAGTCTGCAATGTCCGCCACTGCGAGAATGTTGTGAGGGAGAAAAACTTTTACTGGTTCATGCACTAGTAAAATCGTGTTACAAGAGCCTCACACCAACCAAGCCATGGGGCTCTGTGACCTCTTGAAGGCCGTGTTCAAAATCTCTGCTAACGAATTTGTACAGCATTATTACATGCTACATTCTACTGGCACTCTCCTCCCCTTGCCCAGCCGTCTACCGCATCCTTTCCCCTCCTTTTGCTAACTTTTTACATCTCCACCATGGGTCCATGGCATGAAGCCCATTTTAACTCATTCACTTGCCAACCCCCAGAAAAGGTAACTACCTATGTAATAGTTACTTGTCAGTCGTCACCAGCCACATTGCACCCCATCTCGCGACACACGCCCCCCGTGCAACCCAGATGCTGCGCGATATGACGGTCTCTCTCCGATTCTGGAATAGAGCCGTCCACATGCTTGATTTCGCAAACCGAGTATTGCCCAGAGTTCTCCGATTCGCTGCTGTTTTCCAACCTCGTCGTTCATAATTCCGTCATCCCTCGCCAATACGTCCACCACATGCTCACTTGGTCAAACCCCCCCCCCCCCCCAATACCATGCCTCATGTGCGCTCTAATAAAGAAGATTTGATGCATGAGTCACTAGGCGCCAGCGTATACTGGGTTCAGTACCTTCTTCGGAGCTTCTTCTCTGGACCCTGGATCTTGGACCTTTGTCATGGCCTTCGCTTCGCGTGATTAGGCTGCTCGTCATAACTACCACACTTAATCAATGCTCATGTAATCAATCATGTACATTGGTCTGGGAAATATTATACAGAGAGGATCCGCGCAACCTCCGCCGCATCCGTAAGCGCCGTACTCGCAATGCAGCCCTCTATGACCACATATCCCGGATGCTTTGATCTATTGGGTGGTGATTTTATAAAAATAGTATACATGACGCTCTAGTTTCCTCCTGCCAACGAGACTCTCTAGATTATACCTGCTCGTTGTGCTTCTGGACCTCGCTCTCACATCGTCCGCACAGCCCCTCTTCCTCCTCAGCCTGATACCGCCAGCATCGCGAGCACTTGGCCTGCACTGGCGGCAGAACGTGCACCGCGCCGTGAAACTTGCCACCGCCGATGGGTGTGATGTAGTGCCAGGCTAGCTGTTCCGGTAGTGCGCTGTTCACAGAAACGGACGACACCACAAAGATGGCGTCCAGCTCGTCCTGGTATTCCGCTAGGCAAGCGAGTAGGCTTGCGTCCTCTGTCATGATCACCACCGAGCACTGAAGCGAACTACCAACTTCTTTGGCCAGCCGAGCAGGCTCCAGCCCCGCCTTGATAGCCTCATGGACAGTAGAGAGCTTTGGAATGTCCTCGCGCAACTTGGCCTCGTCGCAAGTCACCCGTTTCCGGTCAATGACCGGTGACTTGTACAGCTGCTTCGCCGGGTGCACCATCGAATCGTCTTCGACCATCCAACTAGGTCTGTTGGCCCAGGCCTCTTCCACCAGCACAGGCGTCACTGGGGCCAGCATTCTCAGCAAACCCACCATTATGGGTTCAATTGCACCCCCTCCGTCGCCGCAGTAGAGCCTATCCTTCAGGGCTTCCAAGTAAAACGCTGACAGGTCCGTAGAAAGCCAACGGTTCAAAAGGCCTACACCCTTGTGAAACTCGTGGCTGTTATATGCCTCCCACACCTGCTCCATCGTCGTCGACAACTGCAGCAGAGCGATGTGGTCGAGCTTTGTCAAGGGAGCACGTCGACTGGATTCATGCAGCGAGCCTAGAAGCATCTTGAGAATCGTCCTGTATCGAACGAGCGCATTGTGGACGGGCTGCAGGATGGTGGGGCCAATGGGGATATCAGTCGTAAAGTCGCAGCTACCAGCCCACAGACGCAATGCATCCGGGCCCAAAGCATCCGGCTGTCCCGTGTTTTTGCCCTTGCGCTTCGCAGGTGGCAAGAGCCTGCCGTCCATGACCTCTTCCGGGGATATCGTGTTGCCCAATGATTTCGACATCTTCTTGCCTTGTGCGTCCAGTGTGAAGCCATGCGTGATCAAGGTTCGGAACGGAGCCACAATGCTGCCTGCTGGCTTTCCGTCTGCCTTTTGTGCGGCGACGTAGCTGAGGAGACTGGATTGGAACCATCCGCGGTGCTGGTCTGAACCTTCGAGGTAGACATCGACCTGCTTCTCAATTTCTGCCCAACTCGTGCCACTGTCGAACCAGACGTCCATGGTATCTGTCCCGCGGTGGAATTCGCCTTGTAGTGATGATGGAATCCAGGCTGGATCATCAGGGTTGTCTGAGAACCATGCGTCCGATGTTCTCTCTTGCATCACATTGATGATATGATCAATGGTTTCAGCATTCATAACGGCTTCGCCGTTCCTATCGTAGAGTGCTGGTATTGGCACACCCCATGAGCGTTGTCGCGAAATGCACCACTCTGATCTACCCTTGATGAAGCTCTCTAGCCGTGCTCTTCCGCTGTCAGGCACGAACTTGACGTTCTTAAGCGCACTTAGAGCGTCATCTTTGATGCTTCCTACATCAGCGAACCACTGTGCCGTGGCTCGAATGACAACGGGCTTCTTCGATCGCCAATCATAGGGATATTTGTGTTGTATCTCCTGTGTCGCAATGACATCTTCAGCCACGAGATCGAGGACGGAAGAGCTTCCACCATCCAAGATGGAAGGGGCAGACGTGAGGACTTCCGGGTCATCGGGGTACGCTTCTGCTGTGAACCGACCATCGTTATCGATAGGCGCAAAGGCCTCAATGCCATGTTCAAGGCAGATCTCGTAGTCATCTTGTCCGTGGCCAGGCGCTAGATGCACCAGGCCAGTGCCCGAATCAGCGGATACAAAATCAGCATGAAAAATAGGATGCGCTGGAGCTGATTTGCCTCTTAGCTTGTTGCGATACTGCAGGCCAGCCAGTTTCGAGCCTGGGATAGCATCGGCCACAACCTCAGCTCCCGGGACAAGCTCACGGACGGCTTCAATTCGACTCGAGGCAACCAGAAGCCCGTATCCATTTACGCGTAAGACGGCGTATAATAGGTCGTTATGAACGCCAATTGCCTTGTTTGCCGGGAGCGTCCACGGCGTCGTCGTCCAAATGGCTGCGTACAGAGGGCCGTCAAAATTTCGAAGCTCCGAGATAGTGGTGTAGTCAGATGTGATGGGGAACCGTATGTAGGCAGACGTGGACAGGTGGTCATCCTTGTATTCCAGTTCGGCTTCGGCGAGGGCAGTGCCAGACGACGGCGACCAGTACACAGGCTTGTTCTTCCTGTAGATGAGCCCGTGGCGGACCATCTTTTGGAAAACGCGCAGTTGTCGAATCTCAAAGGCGCGATCCATGGTCGTCCACTTGTTGTCCCACTCGGACATGACGGCAAACGACCGGAAGCCCTTCATCTGCTCCGTGACCGTCTTGGTCGCCAGCTTGCGGGCCTGCTTTCGCACCTGGACCGGGGTGAGCCCCTTGGTTCCTGCAGTGCCGAGAGCCTTCATCTCAATCGGCAGGCCGTGGCAGTCCCAGCCAGGGCGATAGAGAACGCGCCGGCCATTCTGCACCTGTACCCGTATGATCATGTCCTTGAGGATCTTGTTGATCGAGTGCCCGGTGTGGAGTGGGCCGTTCGCGTAGGGGGGGCCATCGTGGAGGATAAAAGGTTCGTCCTCGGATGGTCTTGACGACTGCCAGGTATAGAATTCGTCCGAGCAACTCAGCAGATGCTGCCGTTGAAGCTTCGGGTTCGGTCGCGCTCTGGATCGGGGGGGTCAGGTCGCGGGCTCGTCGCCAGGCTTCGCGTCGGGCGGGAAAGCTTACGGGAAAGTTGAGCGCGGAAGTTTCAGGGTCGATTTCCATGATTGGGCCATTTCGCAGTCCGGCGCATGTCCTGGGAGGCGCCAATGCAGCTGAATTGAAAGCCGCTGGAGAAGGTGCAAGTTTTGGGGGGATTCTTCTTGGGGTGGGTCTCGCGTAGCACGGCGCCCATCGCCTGTTTTTTGACAGGGCACTAGACAGGTCTCTTATGTACCTGATATATAATTTTTCCCTGTCACAACGCTATCAGGCTACTACTACGTGTTAAAGAGCTTTTATATTTTTTAGGAAGCCGCGTTGTGATAGGGGAAAGACTACAATATGCACGCTGCTTCCCTTTTGAGCTAAGTTGATGACAACCTCATAATTCCTCTACAAGCACAGCCTCTGCTTGCGGACTGAAGGGGGTTCAACTGTTTTCAAACCCCAATAAAGAGAGCGTCTTCGGAAACTCATCTCACGGGTATCCATGTAGCCAATGTTGGCTGCTATGTCTCGCACACACGCTCCACACCAGGCACAGGTACCTACCGATGTACAGAGGTGCGATTTGGGCAGCCACTTGTTCGTCATCTGAAGTCTGCAATTTCAGTGCCCAACGGCTGGGTACTGTGGCCCAATATAACTTACACGCTAAATACCTCCAACGACATCACACTTGCACGCTCGACCGGAAAAGTCATTTCGCTACGGTCCACGCAACGACCAGGGGATTGCCCTTTGTGCCCACCTCCGCCGGAGAGTGTCCTCTGACTTCATGACTTTGGCTAAGCTCTTTGTAGCCGTGACGACCTCATCCAATAAAGCATTGGGACAATGATGGAGATAGCAAGCACGAGTGCCTTACTCCCGCGGAAAACAGGGCGTGAAGCGGATTCAGCTTATAGGGCAGGGTTAGTAAGGAGTAAATAAGCAAATGAAATATACGTACCTTCTTGCCGTATATCTGTTAATAAGTCATCTACAGCACGGTATTGCCCATTCCAGCATTTGAATATGACATTTCCCAGCGCGGGAAGTGATTCCAGAGTGTGCAAATGGTCCTCTGAGACAGCGTTTGTCTCTATTACAGGTGGTTGTTCGACGAGCATTTCGTAGAATGTAGATCCAAGAGCGAATATCTCACTTTGATCCGATGGATGTTCTGATTTAGGATGATAATGTCCCTCCTCGTACCATCCTAAGCACGGTTCATGGTCGATGGAGGAGCCTGCGAAGTCCCCGACCATGGCGTTAAGGTCCTTATCGAGAAAGATATTGTTGCAAGATATATCGCAATGCAAGACGCCTTTCGAATGGAGTATAGATATCGCTTCTGTAGCTTGTCGTGCCCATCGAAGTTTGACAGAGAGAGGAGTGGGTTTGTGCTGAGATCGCAGATACCCGCGGACTGTACCATAGGGCGCAAACTCCAGGATAACCAAATCATTCATGTTACCATAGTATTTCAGTATTGTTTCAGGCCAGAGATCGTTACCATGTCCTAGCCGCTCGTATACGGCTACCTCTCTCTCTCTGTCCTTCTCGTTGCCAGAGGTGTAACACTTCGCAACAGCGTCGAGTCGATGGACCCAAGACGAGAGCCCAGCTCCAACAGTCTCATTATCGCGAACAGAACTTGGAATTGGTAGAATTGACTCTTCGAAAGTCGACATCCTGAATGATGCAAAGATGGAGCCGTACCGGGTTCAGGCTTGTCCAGTGTTAATTAGAACCCCTGAACACCTCCGAAGTGCTACCACGGGTCGCAATATAGTTAATACGGGTTGCGAGCCCTAGTGCTACTTATGTAACCTAATGGTATTACTCTGGATATAGAGCAGAGAGACTTGGGTAAAATACAAAGTAAACCAGGCATAAACCATAACAAACATCATAACTTGTCCGGTTTTAAAAAAAATCTAGAAGCAAAATCATCAACATTCTTGTCCACCGCTTGCTACAGCTCCCCATCAGACATGAAGTGCGACCCTCCAGCGCAGCGCCACCCGCCCGGATCCATTCGTATCCCACTGGGCATCGTCCTTGCATCTGCAGCCTCTTCCTCGTTTCGGCTTCCTTCTTCCGCTCTTCTTCTTCTTTGATGAGCTCCTGGATGATTCGCTTCCGGAGCGCGTCGTCCCGCGTCTCCTCCTTGAGCTTCTGCTTCCTCTTGTACTCCGCTTCGCGCTGTCTCTCAGCCTGCGCGTCGCGCTGCAGCTGATCCCAGACCTCGTCGCTCACGCCCGCGTCACGGACCGCAGCTTTTGCAGCGTTGGTGGAAGAAGCAGCGGTCTTGGTGGGCTCCGGTCCGTCGTCACGAGCATTGTCTTTGGAGACTGGCTGCGACGTTTTCTGTGCAGAGACCAGAGAGACTTGAGGAGGGGCCACGTTGGAACTCTTCATCGGACAAATCTGTTGTAAAAATGTCGCTGTTGATGGCACATGCAACGTCTAGCGTGACCGACTCTCCCGCTCTATGGCCATGGCTTCCACCTCTGCCTTGATCATGGCTTCCGTCACCGTAATGGTACCGTCCACCCCAGAAGTACCCGCCTTCATCCCGGCCTGAAAGATGGATCTTGCCAGCGTGGTCTGCAGCTACGTCTGGCTCTCTCCGTCTATAGTACATATATACAAATTCGTTTGTCATGTTCCATATGTCGCAATGCATTCTCTATCCCGACCGTTCCGTGACCGTACGTACATCATTGTCCAGCGTAAATAACATGCCCCCAAAACGAGGCAACAAGAGTGCTTCATCCAGCGTGCTTCAATGACGCGCGAAGGCTAATGTTCTCTCTCTTCAGTCGCCCATTCTCCCTTCTTAGTCTGGCTGCTTCATCTGCATGCTCCTTGAACTTGGTCATGAGCTCTTCCTTGTCTTCTTTGCCTTTGCTGCGCAGCGCCTTGACAATTTTGCCCAGCTCATCATTGAACTTTTCATAGATCAGCTCGTTTTCGGCCGAGACCTCCTTGTAGAGTTGATCAATGGAGCGCATCTTGACCTCCGTAGCCTTGAGAGTCGTGTCTATTTCCTCTTGCAACGTGGAGTACTTGTCTTGCAAATCCTGCATGGTCTTGTTGAGCTTCTCCTCTAAGGCTTTTATCGCTAGCGCATCTCGAGTTTCCTTGCTAGTAGGGGCGTTGCCGTGGGAGACTTGTTCCGCGGTTTTTCCAATCTCGGCTCGTAATGAGGTAGTGGCCTCCTCTACAGCATTTTTGTTTGTCTGTACACGATCTCGAAGGCGTTGCGGCGATTGCAGTCGCAGTCGTGCCGGCGATCGTGTAAGCCCACCAGCGGATTTCTTCGCAGAAGCTGTCATTGGGGGGTCAAGTTGAATCGGTTTCAACATGGGAATGCTTGATATGGACTGCGCCTTTGCGTGCTTGGCAACTGGCTTGACAGGCGATGGCATATGGCTAGCTTTACCTCTGCTGTCTAGTGTTTGATGACTCTCGGATGCGTTGACGTTTTCCTTCTGCTGCGAGCCACCACTAATGTGTCGTTGCAGTCCTTGTCCAGCGGAAGTGTTGCCCTTGCCTGAGGGTTGCTTTGAAAGCTGGAGCGGCTGAACAGGCTCTTCGTCATCTTCCAGGGTTGTAGCTTCTAATAAGCTCTTCAAATCGGATAGGGAGCTTCGACGCTTGTGCCTGAATCTTGATGGGGTCGCATTTTCATTCTTTGGCTCGCCAATTGTGTTCAGCGGGAACTCTGCCCTGTGCGAACTTGTTGGCCGGCTTGGAGCCTCAAATGCACCAACAATGGTTGGCCGCTCTCGGGCACTGTTTCCTCTTTGCAAAAGTCTAGGCAGGGTACCATCTTCGCCCATCAGACCGTGCCTCATCGTTCGTCTCGACAAGCTAGAGGGTTCGCCCGTTGCCGGATTGCGATGTTTGCTGAGACTCCTCCATACGGATGGTCGTTCTGGCCTATCTTCTCTATTTTGTCGGATCAACACATCCAGTCCAAACTTTTTGCGTAGTGAGGAAGCATTTGACGTAACAGAGCCTGTCATCGAGACTTCTTTGCGCAACGTGGCGGAACGAATAGATCCCGTCGTTGAGGCCTCATATGAAAAACTTTGGTTGGGGCTGATACTACCAAAGATTCGCTCGCAATCCTCCACTAGTCGATCCAACAAATTGATATAATAAGAGGCTGTTCCATCCATAACAAGAAGCTCGGCAAAGGCAATCGTTAAAGCACCCCTATCACCGTCGTCGCTGCAGCCATCGAGAAGGTATGCCAGTAGCTTGATGAGGGCGGTAAACGCGCGGCGATTCTGAGGAGCCATGTCAGAGAACAAGTAGCGGACAAAGTCTGCAAAATCGCCAAGGGCCCGCCGATTGGCACGGTCCTGCAACGTCATCATGGCCTGCTTGGACATGACTGCACCCATCTGCTCTGTCCATGCTATCCGTAAGAAGTTTTCGAAAGCGACAAAGATGACTTCGGTGCTCACGTCAACTGGCAAGTCGAAGTCATAGGGGTTTTCAATGAGGCGATTGTAGACGTCATTAACCATCACTTCATCCACAGAAGATCGGTTCAGCATTGTTCTGCCGTTGATTGTCCCCTTACGCTCCTGTAGCGCCGCTACATATGCTGTAAAGGTTTCCTCAAGTCGCATAATAGGATTGTCGGGCGGCGTGTCTTCAATAAAAGAACGCTCCCCGCGAATGGACCCTAATATCGAGTGGTAGCTGTTGCTGCGATGGAGTGATGGTTGCCGTGCAATCGTAGCATTCGATATGATCGACTCTGTAGTTGTTGCGTTATTGTCATTGGCAGCGTTGTTTTGGGGAGTGTTATTATTGACAGTGTTGTTGTTGTTGGCGGTTCCACCCCACAAGTTGGACAACATTTTCACTGGCGAGGTCGACAGAAAGGATCTCGTCTTCTCCGCGCGGGGCACAGGGGTAGTCTGTACGGAAAAGTTCAAGCTGCGCAGAATCTTGCTATTGTACGATACCATAGCAGCTGTGAGATCCATATTGGCAACGTTGAACTGGCTGTTAAGGAGTTGGATGACTGTTGAGATGTTAGTAGCGTACATGATGGCCGGCAGCAGCGCCAACTCACTTCTTCGCGACATTGTGGGAACAAAGTCTTCCAACGCAACATCGTCTTGGTATTGCTTGCCATGGAGGCCGGCGGTAATCATCGATATTCGCCTCAGATCATTCACGGCTACCGTGATGACAATCTCTACGCCATAGTGCCCAACTGGGGCACCCTTGGTGCCCCTTTCATGATCGACAACAACACGAATAGCAGCGGGCTCGCGACGGCCTTCGATGAGCTGATCCGCGCCTTCTTGGAAAACGGCTGCGTGGAGCCCCAGATTACTATCGGGCATGCGGATAGAGCGAAGCGTCCAGCATGGGTCTTCTCTTTCAGACTCCGAGAATCGCGCTTCGATTCTAGCTCTGGTAACATCTTCTCCCCACCGCGACGCTTTCCCCTCATACAACTCTTGGAGCAAGAAGCATCTTGCCGTTGGAGTTGCACTGATGCGGTGTTGGCCGGTATGTGCGCCCTTCATATTCCGCGTCGATGTCATCCACGCAAGGCTGCCGTTAGCAGACTCGGTGAAGCGCACGTTTGCCAGGTCATGCCAGCCAGTGAAAGCAAACTCATAGGCTGCGGAGCCACCTGCAGCATTCGTCATAGAAATGAGCAATTCCGCAGCGGAGGGCTTACCAATCTCTCTTAGCAAGTCTCTGCCTGTGAGGCGGCCAGTCTTTTTGAGAATGACAACGCAGTCCGTGAACAGTATCAAAATTCCTCTGCTGTCGCCTTCCGTAAGAGAGATTTCGAATGGAAGAGAAAGTTCAATAAAATCAGCCGCTCCAATAAGACGACCCTCGGGCTCGAGATCTGCCGGCCAAGCCTCGACAATATTTCGAAGCTGGCTGGTAAGCTGAGGTTTGGTCGCTTCGGCCGAGTCGAGTGAACAAATGTTCGTAATGATGTCTCTGGCTTTCAGCATTGACTGTAGTGCGGGGTGCGTTATTGGCATCGAAGCGACTATTTGATCGATCAACAAGCTATAGCGAGGCAGACGCTGGACAGGCTCAATCAATGCGGATTTGATAGCCTGATCGCCCCGTTGTGGTGTCGCCTGAGGGTCCAAGAAGCCATCCATGCAAGTTGGGAAATGCTGACTAGCTTTGATATAATCTCTGTAGCATTCTGCAAATTTGGGAAACCACTCGAGGAACACCTTTGCCATGGCTAGGGCACCGATGGGATCTTTCGGGCGTGCCATGCCGGCTTGGTGAGGAGCCATAAGGTGCGCGCTATTGCCCTCCATGTCGATCAATGCCTCTTGTTCGGTCTCATCCATGACGTTTTGTAACTCTGTCAAGAATGCCGAGTTGAGCTGCAAGATGGCATCGGCTGCCGATGGGAATAACTGTGCGAGTTCAGTCTCGGCTGCGGTGAGGTTCTGTCCCTCTCTTTGTTGTGCGCCCTGACGGAATTTGTCGACAACGGAGTGAGCCAGCTCGTTTAGCTTGAAGACATAGCGTTCCTCGGTATCGACGAGCTCGGCAAGCTTCATGCGCAGCTCAATTTTCTGCTCGGCGGTGAATGTCTTGCTCTTGTTGATTGATGTCGGCTTGGAGGGCGCGCGGCGCAGACGACTCGTTGGTATAAAGACGGGCTCGCCGAATAGCTTTACCAAGGGAGTATAGCCACTATACTGTCGAAGGGTAGGGTCTATGATGTCGTCTTCGTCTTCGGGAACGTCCTCGAGGTCCTCTGCCCGGAGCGGCACAATGGAGCCCGGGGGCAGGATCAAGTCCATGTCGAGGTTGCTCATGTGCTGGGGCTGGAGCGCATCCTGAATGGCCGACAGCACGGCGGGGGTGTTGTCGCTCTGGACCATCGACGACACGACGTTGGCGACATGCTGGTCGCCAAAGAGCGGCGTGTCCGGGCCGGGCTGCCTGCCTCTGGTGGGGTACGCATTCCGCAGATGGGCGCGGACGCCGTCCGGGAGCTCGGAGAAGCAGCGAAAGAGGCCAAAGGCGAGGGCGCGGTAGACGTCGTCGCCTTGGAACTCGCGCGGCAGGCGGGCAACGACGCTGTAAAAGGGTGAGTTGGGGGAGATGGTGAGGCGGGGGAAGCTGCGCAGGCCGGCGGGCGAGAGGACGTGGATCTGGACGCGCGAGGTGTTGTGATGGGTGTGGTTGGCCGTCGTCGAGGCGCCGTACAGCACGACAATGGGGAGATGGCCGAGGAGGGGGTCCGAGGCGTGGTATGCGACGAGCTGCTCGGGCGCGAGCGCAATGTCGTCGGTGACTCGAACCATGACGGGTGGGCGGCGGACGGCGGGCGGGAGGACGAGGGATCAACGGCCGCAGACCATAGCCGTTTGCGCGCACGCTCGTTGGATGGAATGTGCCAGGCAATGGAATCGATATTTGGTCCAGAAAATGGAGAATGTGAAAAACAATGACAATAAAAAGATTCTCCAGCCCACGGGAGTGGTCTCAGATAAACAGGGCGGCAGAGCGTACCAGCACAGTGCCCGCTCTGTTTGTCCACGGTGGCTTGGGAATCGCGATAGTCTATTCGTAGGACCTGCAGAGATGCGACAAAGTCTCGGAAGCGAGATTCGGGCCTTCTCGGCGGACGCCAGCGTTTCTTTATTGCTGGGTAGGGTCACCGGGTCGGTCTCGATAGGTCGTCGGCCTACCTTGAAGTGCTTGAAGTTTGAAGTGCCAAGTGGTTGCAGATGGTCTGCTCCAACGCGGTGTGGGACGCGTCTCACCCGCTGCTATGTACATACGTAGATGCCCCGCGTAAACAAATTCGGTACTTCTGTGACCCGCAAATTCTGCCTGTGGAGAGGCGTACCTTTTTGGCGCGACAGGGATGACAAGATGTACCGATCTTGTTCCGACGACGAATATTTCTCTGAAATATTAAAAATAAGTCCAGAGGGTAATATACCCTTCCATGAGTAGCATCAACTTGTCTCTTGCCCCCCGAGTACATATTTATCTTCTCAATTTGGTCTTCAAGTATTTGCTGGCTTATTCTGCGGGGGACAACTGTTATAATAGTATAATTAACCCAACTATACGTGCATAATTGTACTTAATTTCGTGGAATTAATAGAATGCGCCGTGGTGCGACTTTCCAGATGTCCCACATGCATCTTGGTCAAGACATCTCAGCCATGCCACACCACACATGATACGGCTTTCCGCCCTGAGCTAAATGTACCTTTCCCGCGTCATTCCTCATCGCTTGGAGATATTGATTCGTCTGTTCGTCCGTTCAAAGCCATTTTGAGCACACCTCGATGCCTGAAGTTGCTGTAGCTCCTCGGCGAAAACGGTCTCGTCATGGCAAGTCCGAGGATGCCTCCATAGCTACGTGTTGCACTCTCTCCTAACCTCGCAACGTCAGGCTGTTATACATGCAAACAGCGGAAGGTTCGGTGCGAGGGAGCTCCCCAAGTCCCTGGCAATGACAGCCACCCCGAGCCGCGGTGCGTGAATTGCCAACGACTGGGCTTTCAATGCCGGTGGCAAGTACCAACAGCCGGTGAAGACTACACACCGCCGCCCAAACGACGACGGGCGCCGGGGCGGCGCCGCGTTGTATCAAGTCATAATGACCATGAGTTACCCCAACAGCAGTTGACGGTGACACGCGATGTGCAGCAAAGCGATGCCGGGCCCGCGACTCTCATGACTGGCTCAGACTCGACGACCGGTCAGCTTCTTGACGAGACACTGGATCTCTTTGGTGGATTTCTCTTCGGCACCGATTTCGGATCGGTTTCCGGGGGGTTTGATTTGAATTCCGCGGGCGAAGGGCTTGACTTCGTGCCTCTGCCTGCTGTCGACAACGACATGCTGCAAGACTTGAATCTCTCCACGCCATTGCCAGACTGGCCCGCGCCCTCATCCGCCGACGCTCTATCCAAGACACCCCCCTACAGCGGCAGCGACACTGTCGACCCGGATGGCTCACACTCGTCCATTGACCCAAATAATCGCCGACTCATCCAGCACTATCTGGATGTCATGAAGGGCTATGCCAAGGTCGATGATCATGCCAAGGATGACAACAACCTCTTCATCTCTGCCTTTACCAGGTCACTCTATTTTCCGCCCCTCTTCCACGCCATTCTGGCATTTTCAGCCTCGCATCTAGCCATGGAGGACGAGTCCTATGCAAATCAAGCCAACGCCTTTGTGACACTCGCTGGCAGATCCTTTGAGACATTCCGATGCGCGGAAACTTGTCAGGTCGATGGATTACTCTCGGCGCTGTTTGTGCGCGTCAAGACGGTGCACATGGTTGGTGGCAGCGTCGACACTTTTCTCAGCTTGATCTCGGCCGCTGCAGACATTGTGTCCACCAAGAGAGATGAGTTGGCACTGGACACAGAGCCGTCATTGACCAGGCGCATCATAGTACGCCTGGCCATTCTCGATGCAAGGGCAACATACCATCGCATCGGGCGTGGGCAACTTGTGCATCTGATTCAAGAGATTCCAGCATTTTCAGCGCTTTTTGCTCGCCATCTTGCCTGGTCGGCATCCACGGGCGCATTGTTCAACCTTCTCCGGGCCGACATCCTGCGAATGAAAGTGGCCGAGTTGGACACGAGACTTCATGCGCAGATGGAAAACGAGTTCGTCACGGAGACGCCCATACGCACAATCGAGGTCAAGAGTCTCTACGACGATATTGAATATGAGATCGATCAGTGGAATGGCCAGATGAGCCAAAGAATGGACATTTCTACAGACATTATTCCAGGGGACGAGGTGCTCAGCTCACTCGCATTCGGATACAACATTGTTCTTTCCGCCCTGCACTCGGCACTAGTATATCTTTACAGCGTCTATGTAAGTGCAACAAACGCTTTACTGTCATCGCTAATAGTTCCTAGCCCTTGCCGTCCTTCAATTTGGAGCGCTCAATCTCAGTCGTCTTGCAATGCCAGTTGAGGATTAGCAACGACCCATCACGCGCCACGTCACCCTCCTCCATCCTACCTTCTTCCATCTTCATGGTTGGCTTAATGACCAGCGACCCGGTTCATCGCCATTGGATATTGCAATTGCTCAAAACGGGAGAAAGGTGGGGGGTGTATGTGAAGAAAGCTCGACAACTTCTGGAAGCCATGTTGAGGGAGCCAGGGCAACCCGACATACGCGATATGATGGATCGCGTCACTGGTAGGTTTGTCATCTAGTCGAGAAGAATTTGCGATTCTATATCCAGCAATTACATGATGTATCTGAATGTCTCCCACTGCTCAAAATCCGACTTGTCTGTAAACTGTGGCTCGGCAGTGCCATTGTGGCCCGTCAACTCCCGGACAAGGCGCTCCCGACGGGAATTTTCATGTCTATACCATGTAATCTGGCAAACAGGAATAATAATCATCAGCGCGTAGCAGCCCACTGAAATCCTTGTTAGTCGCAGCGACGACATGGAGCACTCATGCAACCTACGCAGCATTCTGAAAGCCAATTCGAAAACGGGCGCCTGTCGGCCGAGAAAGAATTCTGCTTGATGTGAGCGTCAAGTTGCAGGGATAGCATGCATTGCTACATACGAGGTCCTGCGATCAGACCGGCCGCCCAACCAGCAAAGATGATTCCCGAGGCAGTCGTTTTCTTTGTGTGGCCCGCATAGTTGGCCGCGATCAAGCCAGTGTTCAAAGTGAAAGACAGCGTGTGGCTTATCAAGTTATTAGGATTTGATTGAATGTATCTTTTAGTCAGGGGAGTGAACATACGTGTAAGTGAGGTAGTATCCTGCAAGCCTTCCAGCCTGGTTGTGCACGGGTAGTACGTGAAGGAGGGTGGCCCCAATAAGTGGCGGGACAGAACAAAGCATACAGAGAAGGAGTGAAATGTTCTTATACTTTGAAGCAAGAGAGGAAAAGATTATGAACGACAAGAACTGGATGGTGGCTGCTGGACAGGTTGACACGAGTGTCGTCTGAATTGGGGTGAAACCAAACCCGGCAACGATCTGGCTGGAGAACTATGACACTGTGAGATGCGGTTTCATATAGGAAAGAGCTTCTTACCTGGCTTGCAAACGTGGAGGGCATGGTGTTTCCTCTAGGTATCCATGTCAATACTATGCAGCCGAGAATCGTCCCTCTCGTGGACTTACATGGCAGTGACGAAGAACAACAGCGTCTGTGGATCGCGCAACGCCTCCCGAAACTGATTCCACTTCCACTTGTCATCGGCTGTGACTGTCTGATTCGCTCTCACTCTCTCCATTGCAATCTGTTTCTGTCGCTGGTTCAGCCACCGTGCGTTGGTCTGGTTGTCGGGCATCAATACGACGACGACGAGCGCAAATAACAAGCTGAAAGACCCAAAAAAGAGGAAGAATATTTTCCACGTCGCAATGGATCCGTGAACTAGTAGTACCGTTAGTCACGTATCCGGCCGTGCCGACGTAGCTCACCTTTTCCAAGCCCATAGGTAAGAAGCCCGCCGATAAAGTTGCCGACCGGGGTGCCGCTCAGCCAGAACGCCGTCCGAGAGGCCTGCTCCTGTCGCGTCCACCAGTTGCTGGTGACGATGACGAAGACGGGGCCGATGATGCTCTCCACGAGGCCAAGAAAGAAGCGTGCGGTCGCGATGCCCGCAAAGTTGAAGCACAGCGCTGCAAAAGACGCCCATGTGGTTAGAACTTTTCAGCGCGCCAGATTCAATGGTTATGCCCGCTTACGAGTGAGGAGGATGATGGTGGACCACGAGAGCACAGCGCCGCTGATGAACTTGCCGGCATGCTGCGGCCAGCGCTGCACCAGCTTCGCCCACATCATGACGCCAATCATGTAGCCAATGTAGAAGATGCTACATCAGTAAGTCAGCATAAAGAGCTTCAAAAAGATTCATCTGACGCTTTGCCTTCCAAGCCAACTGTAGTTGCTGCCTTTGAGATGCAAGTCCTTTGTAAGACCAAAGATGGAGCCGTAGTTGAGAAGGGTCTTGTCAAGAAACTATACCCAGAGTTAATATTCCTTGTCATTTTAGGGTTACTCAGAGACCAACCGAGAACATGTAGCATGCAGATAGCAGAGGTAACAGAATCCAATCAATTTTTCGCAGCACCTGTTTGTGCTCTTCCTCAGTGTAGGTAATGTGCTCCGCATGCCCATACACTTTCATACCCTCGTCCTGATTATGCCTTTTTCCAACCTCGATACAGTCAACTGTACCCAGGCTGTTGCGCTTGTCATCATCAATGAAGTTCACAACTTCATTGTTGTTAGTCGGCGCAAGGTTTGCCATGGCCGCGATTGTCGAGTTGGTCAATGAATTGCTGGCTCGGGGCTGTGCAGTCATGGGCTAGAAGAACAACGAGGCATTGATCCGAGACATGAACTCTCCCTGACGAATTCCACGGTCGGAATCCATATTGCCTTATATAGGTAACTTGGTATATTGCGTCCCGCTGGGTAGAGTCTGGGGATTGGAGCAAGCCACTTGCCTACCGACATAGTCGGTTCGACAACAGAGCCGACATTGTCGGCTAGTAGCGCACCCGACCTTGTCGGCTCGCTGCCGTGTAAGTCGCGTAGCTTGCAGGTAAAAGAGTCGTAACTATAAAATATTCAATGTTTTCTACTTTCTCAATCATTTTATTTTACTCCTTGACCGCAAGAACTTCTGGTACTTTTCTCAAGATGGCCGTGGGCAACACCAACACCGAGGCACCAGTCTCAACACCCAAAATCTCGGTACTCCCAGAGACAGACGATTCTAAATCGGTCATCTTGGAGCCATACCATGTGGACTTGCTCCCAGAATATGGCTACATTAGTAGGGAGTACTTGATAAGTGGTGTGGCATACGGGGAGCCATATTGCACTCGGCTGCTTCTGCGCTGTCCCGAAGACGTTTCTCGCTTCACCGGATTCGTTGTGGTGGAACCGTCTCATCTATGGGGAGGAACAAGTATTTGGCGACATACAAATCGCTGGTTAATGCGCAATGGTAAGGCCGAACAACGCAGTCCATTTCGATGTCATCCTACTAACAAACTGAACCAAGGTCACGCATGGCTAGAGGTCGACTCCCAGGCCACTTCGGCCGTCGGAAAGATCAAGAACGCGGATCCTCAGAGGTACCGAGACATTCGCTTCATCCCGGGACCAACATCGGACGAGTTTGCTGCCAACATCCCCTTCGTGACCGACGTGACAAAGGAGTCTCTCTCGGAAGCATACATGAAGTTCAAAGCTACATGGTGGCCCGCCACTCTGCAGTCGCCAGAGATTCTGACGGCCGCATCGCATGCACTGCGCGCCGGCGACTTGGGCCTTGTGGCTCGGCGCGTCGTTCTCAGCGGCCTGTCGCAGACGGGCGGCGTGACGCGCCGTTTTGTGACGCATTCGGCGCATCTGCGGCTCCCCGACGGCTCGCTGCCTTTCGAAGGCTTCCTCCCCTGCCAGTCCGGCGGCGAGGCGCTGCCAGACGTGCCGGGAGCCAAGATTATCGAGCTCGTGGGCGAGGCCGAGTTTCAAAGTGTCAGGCTCCCCTGCGGGATCAGCGGCCAGATGCTCGGAGTGTCCCACCGACGTCCGGACAGTGACGCGTTTCGGCTCTACGAGGTGGCGTGCATGGCACACCGAGAATCGCGATGGGCTTCGCCAGCGGAGCTGAAGAAGTGGTCTGTCGCGGATCTCCGTGGTGCTCAATGGAGCACCTTTTCGAATTCCTTCATCTATCATGCGGTTTTCGAAGCGATGGAGAAATGGACCCGGGATGCTGGTATTTGCCCGCCCCCAGGCTCAATCATTGACACAATGGGCGATAGTGACGATATTGTGCGCGATGAGCATGGAAATGCGGTTGGTGGCGTTAGAACCATGCATAGCGATGCGCCTTTGGCGTCCTTTGTGGCTGCGACGCCGAAAGGTCGGCCAAGCTGGTACTGGGGTAAGTTCATTTTACTTTGGCTGCGTAAAGCTCAATTTTTAACCTCCTTTCAGGCTCGCAGTGGACCTTTTCAGCTGAAAAGCTGCGAATGCTATATGGTACTGTGGCAAACTACAGACACATTGCCGGACGAGCTCTCCAGGAACAGATTCAGCGAGGATTCCTGCTTCCCATGGACGCCGAAGTTTTGCGAAGGGAAACAATAGAGGCAGTCGAGTTCTAGACAGACTAGATTTTCAGAAGCTGCTGTACAGTGGTATTATGGGGTGTTCGGTGTTAGCATGAGGTAGAGAATAGGTAGATGGCAATTGATCGAGCTCTACAACCAACCACGAGTTGCAAGCGAAGGTCCGCGCATCCATATTCAGTGCGGGCGTCGTCCATCTGGGTTAAGCATGCTCCAGTCTTGCTGTCTAGCAGTGTGTAGAGTGGCGCATATATGTGGTGCATCACAGTTTTCAACGTTCTATGACTTGTAACTTCAAGTTTGCATTGTAAATCCCGACCCGTGGTATCTAAAATGTAGCAGGCTGAAAATAGTAGCCAGAACTCCTATGCTCGAAATGCCCAGAGGTATACAAAAGTTTGCCCAAATGCTTGTCTAAACAAAAAATGCCGCTTCCCTTTTTCAACGCCGTCCCAAATGCCGTTCGTGATATCATACAATAAAAATACAAAAAGATGTACAACAAAAATATACAAAAAAAGAACAAGTAAAAATACACCCCGCGATTGTCAGTGCTTCAACGTAAGCAACTAGACAGACCGCTTACTCCTCCTCCGCCTCGAGCGTCGGCTTGCGCATCTCTGCCGCCTTGATCAGGGCGAAGAGACGCTTCGCCAGCTCGCGCTCGTTCCATCCGCCGACGACAGACTGAAAGGCCTCGATGCAGTCGATGTGCCAGTCTTCAATCACCATGTCGGCGCCGCGGCCACGGACCGTCTTGCCGAACAGCCGTTCGGCGAGGTGCTCGTAGGACCCGTGGTACGGGCCCTGGAGGCGCACTTGCAAGAGCCCCTCGAGGACCAGCCAGTGCTGGCGCGACCAAGACGTCTGCGACAGCGGGCCCATCTGCCGGGCCGGCTGCTGCGGGGGCTGGTCCATGCCAGCACTCAGGCCCTGGTCCTGCTGAGCCGGGAGCTCGATCTGCTGCCGCTGCAGTTGCGGAAGCTCGTGCTGGTCACCCAGCAGCTCCTCCAGCGGCGGTGCATCCGTCATGGAGACGTCATCCGACGACACTGACTCGTCAATGTCGTAGCCGTAGCTATAATACCGCTTCTGCGGCGGTTCCGGCTGCGGCTCCGGCTCCGGCTCTGGCTGCGGCTCCGGCTGCGGCTCCGGCTGCGGCTCCGGCTGCGGCTCTGGCTGCGGCTCTGGCTGCGGCTCTGGCTGCGGTGGCGGCGGCGGCAGCGACCATCCTCCTGTGGCGCCCATCGTCAGCGGCGGCAGTCGATTGCTGAACATCAGGTCCGGCATTAGTCCACCGAGGTACGTCAGAGGGTTCTGTCCAACGGGGTACGGCAGCGGCGGATGATCGGCGGGGTTGAACGGCGGCGGCGCCAACCCCATCAGCTCGGCCGTGCTCCACACCGGCGGCGCAGTCTGCCTCAGTCCTTCTGAGCTGAACAGCGACGGCCTGGTCCCCATCAGCTCTTCCGAGTCGAACAGCGTCGGCGCAGGCCCTATCAGTCCTCCGCCGTTCAGCGGCGACGGCGCAGTCCCCATCATTCCTCCGCCGTTCAGCGGCGACGGCTCGGTCCCCATCAGTCCTCCACCGTTCAGCAGCGGCGGCTCGGTCCCCATGTCGACGTCGTCATCAAAGTCCATGGGCTCTGGAATTTCACCGCGTGCCAGAGCCGCTTGGTACTCCCGCTCTCGACGCTGCTCACGCGCAAGTGCCTGCGCGGGCGGCGAGAGCACGCTGCTGGTGAACTCGACGACCCGGCCTGGGATCTTCGGCTTCGACGGCGAGCGGAAACACGACTTCGGCCCAGACGGCTTGGGCGGGAGCTCGGGCAGGGGCATCCGCGGAGGTGGGAGCGGGGGCAGCCGGGGGTATTCGACCTCAACATGGCTGTTGGGGTTGCTCATGAGCCAAGGCAGGCCGTTTTGGCGTTGCCAGGCAATGACCTTTTTCTCCACCGCCCGCCGGGAGCGGCTCTCGTCAACGACGTCAGGGCTGCTTCTCCAGCCGTCAGGGTTTGGGGTCCATAGATTAGATCTAGGGCCCGCCGGGCGACGAGACTGCTCCACAGACTCTCCGCGGCCAAAGATTGAGAACAAGCCACTGCTCTTCTTCCGCCCATTCACCGGGTAGATCTTTGCATAGCGGGGGGCCGGGGTGGGCAGCGGCTCCGGCTCGCCAGTCAGCGGATTGGTCCGCACTGCGCTGGGACCAGCTTCGGCGGTTCTTCCCAGTCTCGGGAAGAACTTCTTCGCCAACATGCCGCCAATGGCAATCGGTGAAGAGAAAAAGGCGGACAGGTCGAATCTGCTCGCCCTGGCGGCAGATTCGCCGAGGTTCTCTGCCTCCTCTGCTGCTCGTGTTCGGGCAAGCAGCGAGTACTCCTCCGCGTCTTCTTCTTGGCGCGGCTGCTCATTCTGACGAGATGACTCGCCGCGCTCTTCGACCGGCGCCGCCTGAACAGGCTGGGCAGGCTGCACAGGCTGCAGCTGGGCCATAAGCCGACTTGGCTGCGTGAGGTATTTACTCACAAAAGGTTCTTCCGCCGCGGGTCGCATCCACGGCTCCTCCCTGGCTTTCTGCTTAATCAGGGCTTCTTTTGTGAAGTTCCTGGTCCTCGGCCTCCTGTGCTTACCGAAGGGGACATTCCTTCGGCGTGCCGGCACGTCCCTTTGCGCCTCGAGCTCCCAAATGTCGGCCTCGTCGTTGGCCGGGAGCTTCGGCAACTCCTGCTCCGGTTCCGCAGTAGCCACTGGCTCGGCCTCTGCTTCCACTTCCGGTTCCAGCTCCGTTACTTGCTCGGGCTCTGGCACACGAGCCTCGAGCGCAGGCAGCACGGGGGAACGTTGGAAGGAGAACTTCCGTGCAGGCGGCTGCGGAGACAACGCCCAAATGTCTTGCAGCGTGTTGTCGCCACGCAGTCTCGGGCTGATCGGGCCCTCGTTGGCAACCCAGCTTTGCGTGTCGCCATCCGGCGATTGGCGCAGCGAGCTGGTTGCGGAGACACGGCCAATGGTCGATCCATGGGCCTGCAGAGGCTCGTCCTGTAAGGACGGGCGCGCTGGAGACGAAGGCTCGACGCTTGTGGGCGGCAGACGGAGAGAAGACTCCCTCTGCGGCGACACAGATGGCTGTAGCTGGTCCAACGTTGCCACGAGAGCTTCAGCGGCCCTAATGCTCTTGCTGAAAAGAGGCTCTCGTGGCGGCGACGACGGCGGCGACACCGAACCTGACTGCGCGTCAGGTTGTGCCGGGTTCCACTCGGCAGCGGGAGTGTTGATGCGACTCTTGCTGAACAGAGTCGCACGCGACGGCGAGACAGAGGCCGCCTCTGCACTGGGCGGCGGCAGGCTCGAGAAGCGAACCGGAGACCTGACGTTCCTCGTCGAGTCTCGGAGCGGGGAGCGGCCCTCGGGCGACAGCGACGATGGGTCCAACTTTCCAAAGTTGAGCATGCGACGCGCCATGGGGCTCTTGCTAGTCCGCCCGCTCGGGCTCTTGCTGATGCGCCCGCCAGGACTTCTGCTGGTCAGGCGCCCACTCTCCAGCTCTCGAGAGCCGGAGCGCCGTTCCTTGCTGCCGGAAGTTCTGAACGGGCTGCCCAGATGGCGCTCTCTGGCTTCGGGCGAGGGCGGGTCCGAGGTGACGCTCTGGAGAGCACGACCTGCGCGGACAATGGACGAAAGTGCCGGGCGCACCTGCGACGCTGACGCGGACTCGTGGGTCACGGACTGCGGCTGCTGCTGGGTCGGCGACGAGAGCTGGTTGCGCGGCGTTTCTTCAAGCGGGGAGGCGCTGTCCTGAGCAGCAGCCTCCACTTGTTGAGTCGCCAGCGCCGGCTCGGCGCTTGCACCTGGCTCGGGTGACACCCTAGATGTAGCCCGCATGGGAGACGACCCATTACGCCTAGACCACCAAGGCCGGGGAGCATTGTGGAGCGCATGCAGGAAGGTGATGCTGTCCGAAGAGTCGTCCGGCGTCAACAGGCGTTTCGGTTCAGACTGAGCCTCGCTGACATCAGAGGAAAGGGCGGGCTGCTCTCCAGCCGCCGCTTGTCCTGCTTCGTCTGCAAGCTGCTCATCGTCGTTGTCCTCATCGCCCGTTTCTTCCATGGCCGAGTCTTCGCCAAGCTCTTCGTCCTCGTCATTGCCAGGACGCAGATACGGCAGTTCATAGTCGTCTGCCTGCATCTCCTGGTCCGCTCCATGCTCCAGCTCCAGCTCCGAATTCTCAGATTCCTGCGCAAAAGAGGCCGCGTACTGTTCTTGGCGAGCCTCAAGCTCGGCCATGACCTCGTCCATTTGCTCATCGTTGAGCTGCTCATACTCGTTTGCTCTCGGCACTGCCCTAGCCAGAACTTCCTCTGGAATCTCCGAGAACGAGTCTTCGTACATGACAGAACCTTCCGCAGATTCTTGTACGGGGGACAACCCCGACGCGGGTCGCGCTGGTCGGTCGGGGGTTGCAGATCGTCGAGGGCTCCTACGTGAGGCCTCTTCGCTTCGCCCGCCATACCGCTTGAAGACGCGGAAGCGGAGCGGTGACGAGTTTGTCGCCTTTCGAGGCGACGATGACAGCCGTGCGCTGCGAGACACGGGCGGGGACTGGCGGCCGTGGGACTTGCTGGACGATGCGGCTGCAACCTCCGGCTCCGACTCAGCTGAGAAGGCTGCCGTGAAGGTTGCTTCGAGCTCCGCAGTAACCTCTCGCTCGGCGTCTTGTTTGACTTGCGAAACTTTTTGTTCCGCAATCTTGTCAATCGCCGAATAGAGGTCTTCTTCCTCGTCCTCTGCAGATTCCGATGCGAGCTCAGCCACGGGCTCTGATGCGGCGGAGACTACCGGCTCCGATGCAGTGGAGGCTACAGGCACCGATACGGGCTCGGTTACCGGCCCTGATAAAGGCGCGGTGACCGGCTCCGATACGGGCTCAGCTACTGGCTCCGACACAGCCTCGGGCAGTGACGCGTCTGGCTGGCCATCAAGACCAATCGCAGATTCCACGTCGACAGCCACTGGCTCGGGCGTCGCAACAGCAGCAGTAGCCTCCTCGTCAGCCGCGTCGTTTTCAGATTCGCGGCTGCCCAGCATCTCCGGGTTCTCCTCTTCCACATCGGCCTCTGCCGCTTCGGGCTGCGACGACTGGTCTGGCTGAGCTTCAAGCTCAGGTCCAGAAGCCAAGTCGGCCGCAGCCACTGCTGGCAGCTCTGGAGCAGCCGTCTCATCGACAGCCGCGTCGTTTCCAGAGTAGTCGCGGCCGCTCAACGTGTCCGCATCATCGTCCTCGTCGTCCGCACCTTCATCTTCCCCGTCAGCTACATCGCCCTGTCGGAGCGACTCAAGCGTTTCGTTGATGATGAGGTTCGTGTCATCACCCAACGGGCTGTAGCGCTGTGGAGGCGGAGCACCCTGTGTGCTTTCTCGCAGCGAGTGGATCGAGTCCATGAGAATCATACTAAAGTCTTCGCCTTGAGCAATAGTATCGTTTCTTCTCGTTGCCGTCGGTTCCGCCGCTGGCTCGTCATCAGCAGACGAGACATCACTTGCGGCGGGCGGAAGGAAGCCGTAGTCTTCTTGTGACGTGGCAACCGACGGCTCTCGCTCTTCTTCCTCCTCTTCCCGCTCCTCCACTTGCGCAGCTGCATTCTCCGCAGGCTCTACCGAGGCTCTCGGAGTTGTGTCTCGTGACGCGGCTGCAATCCAGAAATCCGATTCTGGCTCCGCGTCAGTCGCAGGTGCTGACACTTCACGGCTTACATCGACCGTGATCGTAGCCGTCATGTCCCGTTGTAGGTCGTCCTCACTTGTTGGGACGTGGGCCATCTCTGACGGGCTACTATCAGCTTCTGCCCGCCCGGCTAGTTGGGGCGGTGCCATGGGGTATCGTCGCCTGCGCACACTGCGCTTGGCTGGCGTTACCCTGGGCACTGTTTCTGTGCCAAGTTCGCTCGACGGCTCATCCGCCCGTTGTCTGGGCGAGCGCGTGTTGCGACGCTTTGGCGTGGGGGACCTCGTCGTGAGGTCATCGATGGAGTCCGACTCCATGCTCTCTTCGACTGTTCCTGCGCGCTCTGGTGTTGCGCGTTCAGGAGAAGCATCTCGTTTTCGCTTCCCAGCCGTGGGTTTCGGGATCGGCGTTCCATTGGAAGCGCGGATCCTAGTTTTGCGCGGTCGTGGCCGCGGGGTAGCATTCGTCGAGCCGAGGACATCACTAGACTCGTCCTCGACGGAATACTTGAGCGGGACCGTGGTGGTGGTGGCCGCCGCTCCTTTGCGCAGTCGCGCAGCGTTGGTGGTGGTGGTGGCGGTAGTGTTTTTGTTGGATGCTGTGTCGGCATCCTTCTTGTTCTCCTCCACGCTCACGATCAGGCTGCCACGAGGTGCCCTGCCGCGAGGCGCTCTGCCACCGCTCTTGTCCACGTCAAGTTGGAACGCCGGCCTTCTAGGCGTGGGTCCGATTGACAGGAACTTTTGAACGCGGTGGCTGCGTGTCATGCGCCGCGTGTTGGAGGAGAGGACGGACTGGTCAGGTGACGCGCCGTCATTGAGGGGATCCGGCGACGACCTGACGTCGTCGCGGGGGCTTCTTGATCCGGCGACGCTGCGCCAGCGCAATTGAGTTGCGTCTGGCTGTCGCTGAGCAGCGCCGGCGGAGGGGGTGTTTCTTCGGCTTGGCATTGTTCAAGGTTTGTGCGGGGGACAAAGGTAGAAAAAGAGGATTATTCTTATCGCTGAATCCCAACGCGAGAAAATGAAGAGCCATGGAAGGGAAAGATCGGTCGAGGGGCGCAGCGGGATGGGAGGGGATTAAATAATGGAATCGAAAGGGATCCGGAAAGCGGTTGGTGTTTCGGTAGGCGCTGGGTGCGAGTGTGTGCGCGTCTTGCGATACTGCGTACAGCCACGTACAAGTTGAGGTGCAATCCACGCACAAGAAGCTGTCGTGAAATGTGAGCGCCACAATATTGTTTACTTGGTACCCGATCTGGGCTAGCCTGCATAATATTTGTGCGCCGTTGTGCACAATGGCGGATAATCCTTACGCCGCTCCGACGAGATTAGGGTCACATGTGTACAACCTGAATAGCCTTGCACAAGCCTGGAATACGAAGTATCACTGACCAGTAACGTATTCTAATCAGCCAAGGTAGATCTGTACCGTGCCGCCGGGTGCTCACGGAAAAGACGAACCTGGGGCACTTGTGAGAACCCTAGCTTTTTAGCGCATAACGTTAGGCTGCTATTTCCTTGTGCTTGTTGCAGCCGACTGCGCGGGACGTCCCCAAGCTTCGGCATCCACCCCCACGGGACCTCGGCTGAGAGCTTCCCTCTAACTCAAACCGCCCTCACATTAAACCAGTAGTGTTTGCGCCAAGTCCTTCTCCTCCTGTCTCTTCGGTCTCTTCCTTCGTACTCCAATTCCAATCGCCAGCATCTCCCTGTATCTGGCCTCTTCGTTCCTTTCCTCCTCCACGCTCTCAACTCGATGACACACGCTCCCCGCGCCTCTCGCCCCAGACACCCCTGCCTTGCGACCACGCCACCATCTTGAACAATGGCTGCCCCAAACGACAATGTCACGCACGCCCTCGCCGGTGCCGGCGGTGGCATCCTGTCCATGGTCCTGACGTACGAAATGACCGAAACTATCTCTCTCGCCTACCTTGTGCGCCCCTCCGGCTAACCGTGTCTCGCCTGGCCTCCAGATACCCCCTCATCACGCTCTCGACCCGCGCCCAGGTCGAGTCGAAAAAGGCCGACAGCAAGTTTAGCGATGCCGTGCAGAAAATCATTGCCCGCGAGGGCGTCGCCGGCCTCTACTCGGGCATCAACTCGGCGCTCTTCGGCATCAGCGTCACCAACTTTGTCTACTACTACTGGTACGAATGGACGCGCTCCTTCTTCGAGGCGGCCGCTGTCAAGGCCGGTCGCGCCAGCAAGAGGCTCACCACGATCGAGTCCATGATCGCCGGCGCCATTGCCGGTTCCGCCACTGTTGTCCTCACCAACCCCATTTGGGTCGTCAACACGCGCGTCACCACGTACAAGCACGACGCCAACGCCGAACTCGAGGCCGGCCGCCGCGGCAAGGCGCTCGCCCGCCCCTCAACCCTGGCCACCCTCATGGCCCTGCTGAAGAGGGAGGGACCCCAAGCCCTCTTCTCCGGCGTCATGCCCGCCCTGGTGCTCGTCATCAACCCCATTCTCCAGTACACGCTCTTTGAGCAGATGAAGAATGCCGTCGAGCGCCGCCGCAAGATCACGCCCACCATTGCCTTCTTCCTCGGCGCTCTCGGCAAGCTCTTTGCTACATCAGTCACGTACCCCTACATCACCGTCAAGAGCAAGATGCACGTCGCCAGCACCTCAAGCAAGAAGGACGGCATGTCGCAGACCCTCAACCGCGTGGTCCGTGAGGAGGGTTACGCTGGCCTTTACAAGGGCATTGTCCCCAAGGTCACCCAGAGCGTCCTGACCGCTGCTTTCTTGTTCGCCTTCAAGGACGTCCTCTTCGACCAAATCGTCAAACTCCGCAGCAACCGCAAGATTGCGGCCAAGTAGGGGGACACAAAACATCCACTTCGACTGCAAATTTTTCGTCCCTCGCTCGCTACTAGATGGTAAGGGCGGTGAACTCTCCGACCAGACTGCGCAACGCCAAACCGGCCACGTTACATGTAGGCTCGTATCGCTCGGTTGAACTGTGCGACACAGCCGCGATGAAACAAATACCCAAAAAGGGCATGTACAAGATAATGTTAGGAACACTTTAGACAGGTGACAATCATCTAGATGCATGGCTAAATGCTTCTCAATAAACTCTTCTGATTGTAAATGAAATAACATCATGTCAAACTCAACATTTCCAGTCTCAACATCAATTGGGTATAAATGTTACTCTAGGTACAATCCAGGACGGGTGGTATGTCTTATCCGGTGTGGGAACCTCAACGGTCAAGCCCAGTGCGACGTCTTTCATCGGCCCTACTCCTGATTGCGTACCCGTGCCCGCCAGTGCCTTCTGCACCGTCTGAATGGCAATGCCCGCGGCAATGCACGACTTGAGGCCATTCCTCACGCCGGCCACCCACCGTTCGTGTGAGCCCACCGAGAATGACTCTTCGGCAGAGAGCTTGTTGAGGGTTTCGAAGCCACGTTTCGCGCCCGTCAGCGCGCGCTCGCCATAGACCAGGAGCTCCTCTGAGGATGTATCCAGCTGCTGTGAGCCCGTTGTGAATTCTTCAAATGTAGGAAGCGAGGGCAAGCCAATGGAGGAAAAGGGCTTCATGCGCAGGTCGTAGCGGAACTCGTCGTTACTGTAGGGCCGGGTAGGTGTACGCACGAGACCATGACGCGCGAGGACAGCGTACAGGCATGCGAGCGCGACAGACAGCTCCCAGGTCACAGCAGCGTCAATAAGTGTAAGGCGCGTGGAGGCAAGAGCACGCTGGAGCTGCTTCTCCACGTCAGGATCCTCGGAGGGCAAGGCGCGCGCTTCGTCGACACGGTGGATGATAAACGACTTGATCCGCTCCACATGCTGCAAGCGCGTCTTGGCGAGGTAACTGAGGTACCAGTACATGCCAAGGTGCTCATCCGGTTGGTAGACCCCCAACTCGAAGCCGAGCTGGACAATCATTTCCATGAGACGCAGCTTATATAAGTAGGTCCACGAGGAGAGCGGGAGTGAGTATGACTCAATGGTTTGATCTGAGCTACTCATCATGGAGGGTTCTAGAAGAATGGGTCGCTCCTTGGTCTTGACTTGCAGGAGCTGGTCAATGTCCTCGGCGTCGAACTGTAAGTTCTCCCACTCGTTTACAAGGTGGCAAAGCGTGCGGCGAACACGACACCGATTCTGACAAAATGTCCGAAGAATATCCACAAATGGTTGCGCAGCGCGTTGGCGAAAGAGTTCCGTTTGCTGTGACATTACGAAGCGGACATCATGAACGACCTCGATATCGTCGTTGCTGCGCGCAAGAAGCGGGCTGGCGGGGAGCGTGAGGATAGATAAATCGTCGTCGAGGAGCTGTCGAATGCTCATGCGTCCTAGAACCTGCATTTCGTTGAATAGGAACGACTGCAAGAGAGTTCTCACGAATACGAGTGGCTGAGGCTTCTTGGCTTGAAACGTTGATATAAATGTCTGATGCGCGTTAGTGTGGCTGTAGCTGAGAGCATGTGCACGTAGGTGACTAGAATACTTACCAAGAGACACTGGGAATCGGTATACTTGAGAACATTGACTACCTCGGCACCATCCTCAAACATGCGTGAGAGATGCGCGAAAGCCTCCTTGAAATCGAGCTGCACGATTGGGCGCGGGGGCATGGTGCTGGCGAGTTTTCGCTGTAGTTTGGCTGAAAAGGCCTCATCGACACTTCGGGCCAAGATGTGCGTCTTTTCAATGATGGGGAGTACGTTGGCAGCTTCGATCCACGGCGCCTGTGTTTTGGTAAGATCTTGTGTCATCTCTAGTGATTCTGTAGCCTCGAGAAATATGCGTCGCAGACTTAAGCGAGCCGACAGTCCTTGGAGGATATCACTGGATACTTCGTCTTTCAACAGGCCCAAAAGCCCTTCTGCTTCGCGGAGGGCCGAGTGAATGTTGCGTGTTGATATGTTTCGAAGTAGAGTGCGGTTGTATGTATTTGTGACAAAATCCTCCTCCTGCGAGATGATAAGGATATGAGCCAGTTATCCACCTAAAGGATGCAGAGCATGGACATACCTCATAAAAGTGTTCCAGCTTGATGTGCTCGTTGACATGGCTGCAAGCTTTAAGCATGCCCAGGCAGTAGGCACGGAGGATCTGCAGCATAGGCTCAGTGTTGCTGCCGGAGGTACCGGACCTCACAAAATGTGCCTCGCCAATGTTGGCAGGGTCCGGCATTGAAAGTGCCTCGACATAGACGCTGGTGAATAGCGTCTGGGCCAATGGATAGCCAAGGTGCCATGAAATCTATCACTGTGAGCACAAGAACAGTATGGCGGCTTCCTCGAGGACTTGGTCGCGCATACCTCATGGCAGACGAGCTCATCGATTATGCCCAAAACCTCCTCCGGGAGCAGCTTGCGCGATACATCGTATTCCTCTTCAAATTTCTCCCCTGGGGCGACGCAGCCACTGTCCATTTTTGGATCCATTATCTATCACGGAAACTACGGTCAGTACTGGAACCATTTTCATCAGAGCAAAGTGTGATGAAATAATCTCAAACATACCTCGAGAGCCGAGACAGACTCGAACAGTGTAAAGAAGCCATCCTTAACTAGCTCCCCCGGTTCCAAAGCTACTCGTGAGATTGGTTAGCATTGTGAGTCGCAAAGCCCAAACTTGCGCTGTTCTCGGTCCCGACGTACACTTGGTGGCGGCGGCAAACTTGGCCGTTATATCTACGCGGATCACACCAGGGCTGTGAATAGCTGGCGGAGGCTGCTGTTCCGGATCCTGGGCCAGAGATAATCTGGCCATTTCTGCGCAGGCACGCGTGGCGGGTTAATCAACGAACAAGGTGGGGTGAGAAACCTCAATCTTGGCTGGTCGCGTACCTTCCGGCGCGACCGCGTGGTCCGCCACTTTATTCATGATTAATTCTTGACGTCAAAATCTTGAGCGATCATCCTCGATACCATCTGCTGGCACACGGGGGCGGCAGGGAAGCTGCCTTTGCAAGAAGCTAGTTTTGCTGTATGGAGGTTTCGTGCTGTGGCGTGTGACGGGCAGAGTGGGTGAGCCAGGCGGAGAGCTGAGGGCCAGACTCGTACCTACCGCTTAGGGATCGGGTAGTCGGTCACCAAATGTGCCAGCTCATCCGAGGGTGGAATTTAAATTGGGAAGTGAGAAATTCGCACCATCTAGGCTACCAATTCTAAACTATTCATCTTACTAGGCAACAGGAACGTCGCGCTAATCACGGGCTTGGAGCTGGATAGCTGTAGGGTAGGAAATAGGTCACAAAGAAAATGGCCGACGAGAGCCGAGTTCAACTGCCCGATCCGGTCATGCTTTTGACTGATTTATAATATCAATCGTATTGTATGGTACAGTGTGGTGGTGGCTAATTGTGCACCGAGTCTAAAGTACGTGGTGGTATTTCGCTGGCGTCCTCCATATGCCGTCCTCTAAACCTCTCCTTCCGGGTTGTGTTTTGGAGATTCATCGCAGCGCATCGTCGACTGTCGCAATCGTCATGGGAAAGAATATCGTTTACGAAGAAGTGCCGTGCTCGGCCATGGCAGCAATGTTGGCCTTGCCCAGGTCCTTGGGCTCACCCATCTTGCCATTCTGTTGCGGTATTAAGCATTAGCCATCACCATCACACTCCCACCCCACACCTCGGATGCGAAAAGGGAAACCTACCTCCCACTTGGCGAAACGGAGCTCCATTTCGCCGCGACGCTCAACAGCGACTCTCTTCTCCTCGTTGAGGCTGCGACGGACGGTACGGGCGGCAATGGCCAGGTAGCGGTTGTAGCTGTTTGGTCGAAAATTAGCGTCCCAAGTTCATTCATTCTCCTTTGCGCGCGCGGTATAATATTGGTCGATCGTCGGGGCGGCGCGCCAATCGAAAAGGACAGAAAAGCGTCCGAGGGCAAACGTACGTCAAACCGGCGGCTTTCCACGCAGCAGTCATGTTGGCGGTGTTGATTGAGCGGAGGATTGGATTCGGGGGTTGGTGAGATGCTTGGCTACGCCAATTGAATCTTTGCTGGAAAGCTGGAAAGGATGGATGGCCATCCAGCGGAGCTGGCGCCTCAGGCAGAAAAGCGGTTCACGTGATCTGATTGGTTAGGTAGCTTGTGCCTGGAATTCCCGACGTGGTCAAGGTGGGTCTAGATAACTTCACCCACGCAAGGCTTCAATACCACACCACCAGTTGGGTTTGGTGATGTTCAGGATGACCGAAATGACCAAAGACTGAGGGAATTATACGAATTCCCACTTATTCACGGCTGTTTTACTTGAATTTGTCTCAGGATTTCAGAGGACTGGGGAGTCTTTGATAGTAAGCTCAGAACATTAAGTGCTAACAAACGAAAATCTATGGTCTGTAGGTAGTAAGACAAAAAGGCACGATTGGGTATAATACACTTGATCTAGCATCCGTCGATGTTTCCTCATGACTCAGCTCAAGGGCCGCCTCCACCACCACTCATCATCATCATCTGCTGAACACGGCGTCGGTCAATCTCCTTCTTGAGCATCACGATGCAGCTCGCAATGGCGAGAATCTCCATCTGCTCATGGTCACCCTTAGTGTCCGCCCACTCCGTCAGATTTAGCAACAGACGGCCACCATTTCCCGCCGTGCATCCGCTCGTGCCTTGGGTGCGCAGCTCGGCGTTGCGCACAAACATGCCGACGAGGACACGGCGCTCTTCCTGTTTGCCGCCGGCCAGCGCGACGCTGGTGACGCGCTCCCACAGCAGCAGGCTGTTGGCGCCGACGGCCTTGCGGTCGCTGCGACGCGCGTATCGCCACTCAAAGGTGCCGAGGTGGGTGCGGAGGCTCTGCGCGCGCGTCGTGAGGCCCTTGCCGTGTATCTCGTAGACCTCGTGGGGGTCGAGGCGGCCGTGCAGCTGCATCTGCGGGCTCTTGCCTGGGCCAAAGCGGTAGGTGGTGCTGCAGACGGGTTCCTCGGCCAGGCCGGCGCGGACGAGCGCACAGTTGCTGGAGCGGCGATTGTTGCGCAGCGACTCGTAGGCCAGCTCGCCGACGGTGCCGTCGGCGTCGACGCGGAGTACCGGGATGGGCACGGCCTTGGGCGGCAGCGGCAGGTGGAAGAGCGGGTGGCCGCCGGTCTCGATCTGGAAAGCGATGGTATGGTGAAAGGACGCTACGGCCGAGGCGGCGCTGGAGGCGGAGGGCGTGGCTCCAAAGGTGTCGTAGTCTGGTAGCGAGGACGACTCGGACTGCGATGCTGTGGCAGAGAGTGTCTGAAGCTGGGGGTAGTCGCCGAGCTCATACTCGGGGAGAGAGGATGTGGCGGATGCTTGTGAAAAACGCCTGTGAATGGCAGACCCAGCGGGTTGCATCTTGGTAAGAGTTGCCATGGTGGCTATGACGTATCGAGGCTGGTGATGTACAGTGATGTCGTGTTGTTGTGTTTTAATAGGTGAGGCAATTCAGTAGATTGCGTAGTGGCATCCAGGATGATTGGGACTTTTGATCTTGTTTGAGGAGTAACTGCTGTATATAAGGACTGTAAAATTCATGTGAATGCGACGGGGCATCATGTTATATATACATTTCGCCAGAGAAGCTCCCACCAGGCGCATTTATTGTCTACGGTAACTAGTGCAAGAACTCTGGGGAAGAACGTCCTGAGGGTTCACTGTAAGCGGCAATACGGGGGATACGGTGGCAGCCTGGCGGTACATGATTGGCCTGCGCCCCCATTCTAGTGGGACATCTCGCGAAATACGATGAATGCGCAGTGGGTCTTGACGCCAAGCTGACCTGCTGGGCAACAATGAACAGACGAAGACGCATCTACCAGTACAACTCTGCGTGTGAAGTTGAAAGAATATGGATATAAGAATGATTCAAACAATCGGTTGTGGTAATTAAAACTGCAGCGACCACTATATCGCAAGTTGGATATTATAGCTGCTGAACGGTGCTGTAAAGCAACCTCCCAGACAGCAGATGGCATGGCTGTCCTGATGTTTCTGGTGGACCCCACCCGCTATAACTTAGCCGTCTGATTAGCGGTCGCCCTGCTGTATGCCCGGCGTGGCTGTGCTGAGCCTCACTAACAGCCAACTGCCCTCCCTTCGAGCAGCCAGCAATCGGGAAGGAGGCTGAGTGTGCCGATCGAGGCATGTATTAGTCGGATTCATCGTATTTCCAAGAGCCGCCCGTTCAGCCACATAGTTATCAAGCGGGCGTATTCTCAAAGCCGTGGCACGGGCTCTACTAGTTCTGAAGGAAGTGGAACGGATGATCATATTCAAATAATTATCAGAGTACATGGTACACATGAGAGCTATGATAACTTCAACTTACTTTGCCCAAAAGCCAAACCTCGAAAAATGTGACTAAGCCACTGTCCGGCCGAAAAACGTCAGGTCCCGATCGAGCTGCTCCTCCACCCACATCGGCCACTTGTTGTACACTTGGTGCTCGTCGTCGACGCGCGCATTCAAGTACGTGAGCCAGCGCAGGAATCCCGGATCCATGCTATTCTCCTTTCGCGACGGGTATTTCTGCCGGACGCTCAGCTCCTGCTCGGTGATAAAGGCCATGATCTGCGACAGCGCGATCCAATGGGTGTGCAGCAGCACCATGGTCTGGTTGCCCATGTCGATGAGCTCCTGGAAGGTGCCGTGCGGGAGCAGCATCCACCAGCCGTACTGCTTCGAGTTTGTCTTGTACGCCTCAAACGAGCTCTCGTAGAGGGCGCGCGCGATGGCGAGCAGCTGCGCGCGGTACTCGTCCTC